TTAATTTTAGAAATGAAAAAAAAAACATTTATAAATTATAGGGTTTTCTGTTGAAATAGATTAATTAGTCAACTTATTATAAGAATAATATTAGAAAAGATATTTAATAATATCCAATTTTAAGAAAACATCAGGTTTATTTTGTACAATTTTTTATTTTGTATTATACTACTCTTCCTATCAGTTGTTTGGATCCAATCAAGTTATTATTTTTATTGCTTGTTTTCTTATATTCATTTAATAATAATTCATTTTGGCTTGATGAAGAAATAAAAATTATAAATGGACAAACATAGACAATCAGTTCCACTATGTTATTTGAAGAAAATAAATAACTTCATGCCGGTCGTTGTTTGTTTTTATAGCAAATCTGATAAAAATAGCTTAAAAACAAAATCACAGTTTTATATTTTATGAACATTATTTTGTCGTAATTATTATAACTTTCTATTTCTTTTCAACTTTATATTTCGTCTTTAAAGAAGCTATTGAACATGGATTTTTTGTGGTCGAGCTTCTTTTTAAGCGTTTAAGTCGAGTAGGAGAAAAATAAAATATTTTTAAATAAATGAGGAAAAATGAGAAAGGTGAGTCGCTCCGACGCCTGCTAGTACATACAACCGAGATTACAACGGTTATAAACGGACTTGAATTGAACAAGTTCTCACGATGAACATACGACGAAATGCAACGACGGCAAGCATTACTATATAAGACCGACATTACGATAAATGTAGCTGGGCCTTTACACAATCAATAACTAGTCTAGTTTCCACCGTTTCAGTCCAGTTCTACTTTCAATGCAGATCGAGTTTATTGTGATGTTTCAATTGGAACTGGAGTAGTAGTGAAAAAGATTGATATTTCAGAACAGCGATTATGTAACTTCATCCCGATTCGGCATGAACTTTTTCACAAATTGCAGAATGATTACGTGTAATCAGATGTATGCAGAATGTGAAATCACCAGACTGATTAGTTAGTATTTTGAATTGAGATACCGTATTGCTTTTTTTTTTTCAAAAAAGTTAGAACCATAACCCGTGTTTCGTGAATTCGCTACCACTCCGATGAACTTTGGATTAAATCGGGAATAGATTGAATGTAGTCGGTTGTATTTCCATCGACACGAATCAATCTTCACTGTACAACTATGTCAATAAAATATATGCATCAATAAGTATTGTTATTATTATTACTATCAAATCCGGTCCTACACCGCATTAGATGCAAATCAAAGCTTTCGTGGAAACTAGATTATTGTTGTATATCTGGAGTATAAGATAAATTTAATATTCCAGATGCTTAACTTCTGCTTGGTACACTCAAGCTCGCGGTATATGGAGTTTGTTTTCGTGCTGAATCTAATGTGATGTAATGACATCATATTAGAAATGCTGAGCTTGGTGCCGATTGGTGCATTTACAATTTAGCATTAGAGCAAAAGGTTAAAAGCTCACTACATCTATTATTATAGATCTAACCTTACACGAAAGCAGGTAAAGTTGTTCACTTCGGGGTTTATGAGCGATTTCAAATTCGTAAATGGCGAACAAAGTGAGGGAATTAATTTCTATTTGTAGAATACACGTTTCACTTCTCCTCGAGCTGCTTAATTTGGCATCGGAATTATTGTCTCGTTTTTCATGACATTTTTTTCCCCTGATGCTTTGTGAGCAGTTTAGTTCGTTTCTTCACGAAGAGAGAGAGAGAGAGGGAGAGAGAGAGAGAGAAAGAGAGAGAGAGAGATTCTGTTCGACTTAGTAAAAGAACAGACTATTACAGATATTCTTCTAACAACTGGACCTCGTCATCGTGGTATGCCTCTTGATCGTAATAGACGTGACGATGGTGAACCGTCGCGAGATCGTATGCTCTATTGGAATATCCTACCTGGGGTGGAATACGTCCGCGGGGGTGTCCTTGAAGAGGTTGCGGCAAACGGCCGGGTTGTCCGTAATTCGGACCCCATTGGCCCACGACTACACCAGCAATCTCCAATTGACCACCGCGAGACGGAATCGGACGTCGCATTAAGCCACGCTGTGGCATCGCACCACCACCACGGCCACGCATCAGCCCGTCGTTGATGGCACATCCGGCGGGCAGGATATTTGAAGGAACAGACACACGAATACCTGCGACGATGAGAACAGGATCAAAAGTGGTACAAACGTCGAAGTAACAATTTATCTGTGATTGGTGTATGCTCTCGGACCTGCCAATCATATCCACCGAAAACTTGATCACACGACTCTTATGTCCGCTGAAAACAGCCGTTATAGGTTGATTTCTTACGAATAGAAATATGACGTATCGGATTGTGAGACGCGATGAGTGTTGGCATTGGTACAACCGCCGGTCTTACGGAAACAAGTAATCTACTGCAGAAAGTTTAATTCGCTCCTAATTATATCAGGAACACTTTGTCGCAGCTTTGAGATTCGCAAAGTCATGTACTGAACCCCACGAGGCAATAGCTGGTTTTTGCTCTACTTCCATTCGAAGCATCCTATCGCTGAAGATCGTATAGAATGCAAGGAGATTGGAAGAACTGTGTGTGTGTGTGTGTGCACTAAGTATCGGGCGTGAGAAGGATCGAATAGCCAAAGCCGGGGCCTTCTTTACCGCTCTGTCAACCGAGCTACCCACGTCTCCGGTATTCTTTCGTTCGAACAGTTGTTCGATATATCGTTGCAAATCGTTTAAGCGAGAAAAATCGTTGAAAAATGCACCTGGAGCGACTGGTAGAGGCGGACGTGCGAAAACAACGGTAACCCCTTCGAGTATTGCTTTCCGCATCCTCTCGACCTTCACTACACGATCTATGTGGCCACTGCAGAGTTCCAACAAATTTTTGGCGATAGTAGCGCGAGCGAGTGTGTGATGAAACAGTTTGCCGTCGAAATAAAGCCACGGGCAGCACATCAACCAAGGGATTGGTGCGCCGCACGCGTCATTGGCCAGCAATGCGGTTTCCACCCCAGCCATGAATAAAGTAGCCAACTGTACACCGCGTGACGTTACCAATGGAAGCTACGGACAAACACGTCGAACGTCAATTCATTTCTGAACCGAGACTTCTGTCGAAACCTGTTTAAATCTCGTGTCGCAAGCATTATATCACAATAAAATTTACCTGCAAATCCTGTAAATACTGAGCGTTCATAAGTTCCGGTGAGAAAGCCTGTGCAATGAAGGCGTCCAGTTCTTGACGCCGTAAGATTTTTATTTTATCAGAGAAGGACATGATGTATCTGCGAAAGACAATTTACCTTAATGTTAATTGAGGTTTTAATTAGCTCGGATGCTCGTGCGATTCTCGCGCGAAAAAAATTACACGCGATGGTTTCATAGTAAATCATCCCGAGAGCTTTTTTCGCGCGCGAGAATTAAGTTTCGAGGAAGAAACTGAAACGATTGAAGTTGATATTCACCTTAAAACGCACGCCATTACCAACAGATGTTGCGGCACATACGAGGTATTCAGCATGAGAGGCGTGTCGGATCTCATGCAGGTCAGGAATCCTCTGAGCCTGCGTCGTTTGTCGTCTATGACTGTGCTAAAGAACAGGAAATTTTGTGAGCTTCCAGTACGGACGATGACTTTCTCAATGTTAATTGTAGTCCATTCGTAGCATCGTCGCGTGCGAGGGCAAACAAATCGCGCACCCTAATCGAACGGTAAAATCGCAAAATAACAAAATCGCTTACCCAAACCATAAACGTTGAATCGTAGGGACACCCCAGCCGATCTGCTCCGCTTTCACTAATTCGGGAGTTTGATATGGATTGGACTTGGACCATACCCATTCCTTGATTATGACGTCCGGCACTTCCACCTTTTCGCTATCTGCCGGACAAATGTGCAGGATTAATATTCGATAAGAACAGTTTGCAATTTCTACAATCGTTTCTCCCCATATCACATGTCACTTACCACCCTTCTCTTTGCTCTTCGTAGCCAGATACATTCGATGATGAAGATTGAACAGAATCGCGTATACCATCTGCCGGATTGGTCTGTAGATCAGATGAATGGAGGGGAACTCACGGTGATTCTCATCTTCCAGAAGAACCGGCAACTTGATTTCGCCGGCGGTGAGAATTTGATAAATGTGCGGCGACATCAGCCCTTTCTGATGACGCTCCGAGGCAGTGCGCATCACCTCTGGTACGGTCGTGGGGATGTTCGTAGTCTTCTCCGACTGTTTAGTGGAGTCGGCAGTCGCGTGAGATGGTGACGTGGCAGAGGAGCTGCTGCTTGAACTCGACGAGCTGATCAGGAGATTGTGAGTGCCGTTGATCGCGTGTCCGTTGCCTGTTCCGGTAAGTGTCGTTTTTCAAATACAACGATGATACGAAAGAAACCGCCCATACAGCACAGAAGCTTGCAGCTGCGTTACAGCAGCAATGCGATGTTGCGCGTAGGCATTATGAAAACACGCACAACAATATAATCCAACAATGTTACGACAATACTTCAAGAACTTTGTGAAAATAACATGACTGCCACGTGCATGCACCAGGCATGGCATTTCATGGCAATTTATAAATTCTTCAACACGTTCACGCTAGCACACCGGGAGGTTACGCCGTCCGGTAGAAATGTTATGTCTGACCTGTCGCATGGCTAAGGGTAGGTCGGTCAGCGTGAACATGTTAAAGACACTTTAACGAATGTAAGGTAAAAAATTAAGTAAAACAATTTTCCCTTTAAAATCAAACAATAAATTACTTGGATCAAACAATACCATTATTTGAAAACAATCATATTTGTTGAATTAAAAGTCGGTATTTATTTATTATTATCTATTATGATAAATAAGGATCGATATCCCTATATACATATCATCTTGTCATTTTAATTTCATTAGGATAATTTTAATAATTTAAAATTAAATAATTTAAATTTAAATAATTGTATTATTGCATGCGTGTAAGTAGAACTCATGAAACTGAATAAAAAAAATCCTTTACTACTTTGCAAACAATTGTTGCTACAATGTTACATTACGATATCTCTAAAAGCATTTTTCTCTTGCTCAGTTACTCTTCTCAGTTGCTCTCAACCCCGGACTAACTTTACAGCAACGTTTTGTAATGTATTTGCAACGTTTCGATCTCATATCGGAACGTCGCGGCGATGTTCCCGCAATCTTACTGTGCAGTATGGGCGGAAAGGAATTTACCTATCGCTTTGTAAGGCAAACGTACTTTGCTCTTCCTCCGTACGTATGGTGTCGGCATCCCCGTGGCTCTGAATACCCGGCGGATCGATCACGATTTGCGGCGCCGATTTGGCGTTAGCTGTCGCCTGCTTGTACGCGTTCAAGCTCTCGCGTTCGCTCTCCAAGGTTTCGGACGCGAACCTCGACGTCTCCAAGCTGGAGTCGCCTTCCGAGACCGACGGCGCGTCAGTCGACTGATTCGATTGAGCCTGCACGCTCGGCTTGGGATCTACCTTATGGACTGAAATTCGCACACACGCAGCATATAAGGAAATATCCATCGCAAAATTTCTAAAATAAGCGTAGCCGGAGTCACAATTGGTTAATTTCTCATAGTGTTCAAAAATATCAGGTTCTACTGTTATCTACTTTATTGGCAACAAAGGTGCACGGAGGAATGGTTATTCGTGAAAGTTCGAGACAAAGGTTTCCTTTGTGTGAGAATTGTACCTTTCGTTGGCTTCACGGGCTTGTAATGCAGAAATCCCTCCTTCGTCCCGTTCAAATAATATTGTATAGACTGTCGCAATTTGGAGCATCTCGGATCGGAAGTGGAGGTGAAAACCTTTTGCGAGACTATATCCAGCTCCACGGACGGTAGTTCTCTAACGAAATTCGCAATCGTCCTGATCGTCTGCTCGACGCTGGTCTTATTGATATTGGTGCAGCAAATGTTGAGCTTCTTGTAGAAATCAGCCAAGTCATTTTCGGTCAGTATGTAATTTCCGAGCAATGCCGCAAGAATGCAAAGCCTGTCGGATGGTATGTTGAGAGCCTTAGTGAGTTCGGAAAGCATGTATTCTTTCGTATCGAGGGAGCCCTGTGAAAAAGGAAACTAATAGAAGCCCGTGTAAGCGCAACATTAACGCAAACGACGCTCGAACGCGGCAGCCTATCTCCGTTACTTGTTAATGAAGTCGTTATCATGCGCAAACGAAAAAACACCGCCGTTAGCTTCATTACTAAAAATACGTGCCTTGTACGTGAGCTTCAGTTGTTCGGACGAGAAATATCGCGGAGGATCGAATGCAGCATACTCGGCGTCGTCGGCTATGAGTCCATTGTAATTATTTTCACGGCAATAGGCAATCACTTCCTGGTGGTGGTCGTCCATGCTGCAAAGCTGTTGAAGTCGTAATCTTTACTAAGGCTGGCGTTTTTTTTTTTCGAAGGCTTTGAACATTCGAATTTCGAATATTTCGAAGATCTGAAGCTTCGGTGTGTATTTGAATTTTGAAAATATCTAAGTTTCGAAATTAAGTGAGATTTCTATAACATAGAACACAAAATGTCATTTGAACCTTTTATCTAATCTCAATGATTGACCCGTCAGACTTGTCAGTAGGGTTTAGAAACAACAGGTGAACCTACATACGATTACCCACCTCCTGTTATCCAATACACCGTTGCTAGGCAACAATATAAGCCGCGAAGATTGCAGTCATCGAAGGCATATCTTCGAGGCATCGGCTCAAGAAAATTAAAAAAATTCGAAGTTTTCTTCGAAGTTTCGAAATTATCGGAAATTTTTAATAGCCCTAGTAATCTTTATTAAATCTTTACTGAGTCTTTACAATTAACGATGATACATTAACTTACGACTGTGACGTTCAGATGCCTGAGAGCCATGCGTAAGCTAGTTCTCAAGCACACAGGCGGGGTCCACCATATTTTCGGCGGTGGAGTTCCTTTGGTTATTATGTGTTTCAAAACCTAAAAGCAACGTTAGATAGGATAATTTATCATTTTAATCAGGTCAAAAGTTACAGATATACATAATACCCCTCTTATAAAATAAACTTAGTTAAAAGTTAATTAGTGAAAAAATGAATCGTATATATCTGTCGTTGCAGATCCATGTTCTGTGTCCGCATTAAGCTCGTGTTCTGCCGACAAAAGTCTGCTGGCATAACTTGACAGCAGATTGGCGGCAGAAACCGCAAGCAGGATCTGTAGTATGTTCCAATTAAATACATTTAAATGGTAACCAACGACAGATTCTGCTCAGTTTCCATCGTTAATCTGTTATCATATTCTGTTAGCAGATCCTGTTGTATTTCTGTTAACAGACTGCTAATTTACAGCAGACGCCGCACAAGATTTGTCATTGTAGGTTTGGCTGGCCAAATCTGGAACCGTTTATCTCCGCCTGCAGCCTTATATATATACACAAGTTCCAGCATAAGGAGAACATCTAAGTATTTCCTTTGTTTTTAATATGAGAAATATTTAAAGCACAACTTGAATAATTTCGAAGGAGGATTACCGTGGAAGGAAAATTTTTTACGGTAATTTTTCATGCTAATTTTGTTTAACACGTTGACTGCCACGGAACTTTTCACGATTCTGGTCTAAGAAGCCAATTTGATTTAATCAAGTAATGAAGCGACGAGATAACTCGTAGTTGGCGTTCCGGGCAAGTAAACAACTTACGAAATATCTCGTAGTCGGCAGTCAACGTGTTAATGTCCCCATATTTCGAGTTCCAAAATATTTAGATGTTCTCCGTATGTTGAGATACACCATATATATATATATATATATATATATATACATATATGTATGTCTGTGTGTGTTATATATCCTGTGACGGATGTGCGATAGCATCGTGACGACTTACATTGTTGACTTTAGCTCGCACTTGCAGCTGGTTTTGCACCCAGTCCGCTCGCCGAGGCAGCTCCAAACATCCGTTAAAGAATACAGCCAATTCTAAGTTCGACATTTCCGTCGCCTGTATGAGAACGGCTAGAAATTGCAGCGTGCGATTCCATTGTCCGCCACAAGACCAATCTACGTATTGAAGTGATCACATTATCAACAATTCGTTGGCGATAAGTCATCCGACGTGCTTCGCGTATGCCTTACCTGAGAAATATCCACCGTACAAACGATCTAAGCAGCATTCCCCATCGAGAACCAATCTGAATTTATTGTGCAGCTGCTGTCCCTTGATCACGCGATTGTGATGAAATTTAGTCCCGCGCAGTTTGAGGAGGTTCACTGGTATGGAGATTCCCTGATTACTGTTGATGAAAAGTTTCAGGTCATTAACGACCATCTTGTTCTCTCTCTCAGTCTCCTCCCTAGTTGCAGTCCAATTGTGAGTTAAAATTAGCTCGTTCTTTTTGTTTTCCACTATCACTTCTTCTTTTGTTCCCCCCGGTAGTGTTGTTATCCTTTTTGTTTCTTTTTTTTTGGGTTGGTTCTTATTTTTGCGTCTGGCAATGCGTCGTTGTTGTTGCTCTTGAAGTCGGTATGCTTCTGCAGTGTCTTTAAGATGTGAAGAAACCTAATTTCAATTTCAAAAAGTTCAACCTGCGAACATGAGGTAAGACACTTGCGTTACTTCCGGCGCTGTGCTCCGGCACTTATTCGACAAGTTTGCTCAATTACAATTAGTGCCTAATCGTTAATTGCGCGCGTCAGATCCGGTTTGCTGGGCAAATTCATCGATGACAATTTACATATATATATATACACAAACAGAGAGAGGTAAGAAGAAAAGCTTGAAGGTCCTTATTAACAAACAATCGCGCGAGTTGTGCCGTTATCGGACTTAGAAATCTATATATTTCGCACATAGTACGCAACATAACGCGTTTCGGCTTGAATTTTTATCGGATCTTGCGACATAGTCAGTCAAATCTAAAAGAGTAAAGACAATAACTTTTCCCAGAATCAACAAGAATGTAGGTTTATCGGTCGATCGATGATCATCGGGAAAGGGGAGGGGGGGNNNAAAGGGGAGGGGGGGGGGGAATAGAGGAAAAAACGATACCGATCTACCCGGTCGGTTGGCAACGTGTTAAAAATATTCCGCGAGTGCGTCCTGCCGCTGAACGGACGAGGAAGAATTTCCGCAGCGGGCTGGACCACAGCGAGACCACGAGGGAGATAGCGCGCCATTGCTATGGTGCTCGTGGTGGTTTTAGACAGTCGCGCCGGTCGCAACGTGCAAGATGAATTTCGTCGGACATCTTTATACGTTTCATTAGCGCGGCCGCAATGAGCGCATTCACCCGTTGCGATATCTCGTTCCTGCGGCTCGACGAGCGCCGGCTTCGACGACGACGCTTCTCTCGCTCACGTCTCCGTTGGCTGATATTTCCGACTTTTCACAACGGACGAACCGCCCCCGTCGCTATCATGCAAGACCGTCTGATCGGGCGACCGATTAGAGGTAAAATAAGAAATGGAAAGCTACCAAGTAAATCCGAAGTAGGAGGCATCGAACTATAAGGCGAGACAAAAAGGAAGTCGCCGGTGCAGTCTCTCTCGCGAGCGTTCCGAGGATACAGTCGCAGAGTGCGACATCACGCGTCAGTTCGCAGCGACGCGGCGAACAGAGATTTTACACGCAAGTGGGTTTTCAAATCAAGGTGGAAAAAACGCGGCCGTCCCCCGCTCTGATAATTCGCAATGGCGTTCGCGGTACTTACGTTAAATTAGCGATAATCATCGTGGCCACAAATGAAACACAAAACACACGGACTTTCGGAGTATGTAGTGACGTCGGATTCGAAAACGGAAATGATCACTCTTCTGCAAATAATTTTATCCACCCTTAACTTCGCGTTACCTTGACGCGAAACTCACTTGGTCGGAAATTGCATCGCGGCTGTCGCCTTGAAATAACTAGGTAATTATCTGGGTCTATCCCCCGTTCCCGGTTACACTAGCTCACGCTAGTGTTCTCTTTTCTTCTCTTTACCGTCAAATCTGAGAAAAAAAATGAAAGGAGAACTGATGCAAGCTAAGTTGCGTTCAGGAATCCAAACTGTGTGCACATTATTAGCCTGAAGTCACGAAAGCATATCGAAGAGTGATGTTTCAGAATATAGCCCGGCTGTTTCAGAAAAGTTGTCTAATAATGGTGTGTACATACAGTTTGGATTCCCAAACGCAACTCTATCGCAGCCAGTACAGGAATAAAAAAAAAACAGGCCCTTTGTTACACACCGTTTACGTTTGGAAAACACAACGGTTGTATAACGGTTGAGTTCTGATCTACAATAGGTATTTTAAGCTCTGAGCCTTAAGAAATTGGCCAATCACAGTCGAATGTGAGGAAAATAATCGAGTGCCATTGGTCAGTTTCTTAAGGATTAAAACTTAAAGCGTTTATTGCAGACCAGAACTTAGTCGAGATCTTCAATAAGAATGTCCATCGCGATACGCGATGCGACATGCGATATTCAATAAATGTACAGTTCTTGTTAAAAAGCAATTCATTGGATATCGCACGGCATCTGTTGCATATCGCGTCGGACATCGCGATGGATTGTGAGAACCAATAAGCTTGAAGTCCTGGCAGAAGCCAAGAGCAAATTCAAGTTTGACTTTGGAGAATTCATACGGCGAAAACACGACCATAAGACGGTATTCATATATGTTGATGTTTCGTAGCCAATGAAACGAGCCGGACAGCATCTGAAATCGCTTATTATAAGATCAGATTATGAATATCGACCATAGAACCTGTGTATGGAGAGCTGTGTTCCAAAAGTGTAGCGACGAAGTGTATCTTCGCCAACGGCTCTTGATTGTCCTTGGTGAGCGTCTTATAAAATTCACTGTACTCCTTATTGTCGATTTCACTCGGCTTCAGCGTCCAGATCGGCTTGGAGTCGTTCAACACTTCCCAGTCCCAAACTGTACTCGACGGGTAAAGTAACATTTCATTGACCAATTGGGACGAAAAGAGCAAAGATTTCCATTAATTAATTAAATGTTATTGTACCTGTCGAGTACAGTTTTAGAACGCAGCCTGAGTATGCGCACGCAGTAATAATATATCTCTCGCGCGAGAACTGCACTTACCTGCAGCTAAGCCATACTTCCCGCATTACGTAATATTCTAGTTTTCTCCTCGTAGAAGTTATATTTTCCTACCTTGTATTGTTTTTCAATATTCTCTATAAGATTTATCAGGAATGTATAGAAACCAACTTTGCAATTAGATCTTTAAAAATTTATAATAAATGAATATCGAACTATATTGCTGCACCTCACTTTGAGTGCTCAATAATTCGAAAATTTAGGAATAAATTAGGAAAAAGGACTCAGATATGCTAAACAAGTACAATAGATATATATATTACTTTAATATAACTTGTTTAATATATATTTCATGTACAAATGCACTCATACATGCCTCAGACATTCCTGTTACACCAGTAACGCTCAGTCAGTGCTCTCTTACTTAAAAAACGTGGAAGAACTAATGAACATAATTATAAATTCATACATACATACACACATACATTTCTAGATTTCTTTCTTCCTTTTAACATTGATGAAAAACATGATTCGCAATATGCACAATTAATGGCTTAATATTTTTAATATTTTCCATAGAAAAAAAAAGAATCGCACGCGTGTTACTTGCTTTTTAACACGTTCCTCAACGACAACAACTGAAACTTCTTTAAGATCTCCGTTGAAAAAGTTTAAACAGACTCCCGGTGCTGTTTGTTGTACGTAAAAACGTCCATGGAGTCACCGACCGTCAAGATCGTGACCAGCCGAAAAAACTTCAAATGTAACCGTACATCGTACAGCCACGATTTTAAATCAAGTCTGTCTCTCTCTCTTTCTCTCTCTTTCTTTCCCTGGAATACCATCACCTTGCATTCTCATCCACCATTATAACTCATCGTGCTCCTCGTCCTTCTCATCCTCAGCGTCGATGTCCGACACCCTCTCCTCGGCGTCGTTATTCGCAACCTCCTCCTCCTGCATCTCCTCCTCTTCGGGCACCTCGTCCACGGAGATGCCCAAGGTCTTCCTCATCATATGCTCCACGCTGGTCGCGAAACTGGCGGTCTCCTTGAGCATGTAGCCGGACCGCAGCATCGCCGTGCGGTACATCATCAGGGCGATGTCCTTCGCGGTCTGATCAGCCGAGTTGACCTCGACGCGGCGTAGCAGCTCTCTGATGAGCGGATGACGCGGGTTGATCTCCAGGCTCTTCTTCTGGTTCAGGTAGTAAGATTTCTGCGGATCGTCCGACTTCTGATGGGCGTTCGAGATCGCCAGTCTCTCCATATTGCCGGTCCAGCCGAACAAGCTGGCGACCACGGCACAGGGCGAATCGGTCAAACGCTCGGACACCTGTGCCTTGCTGATGTGATCCTTCAGGATATCGTTCAGCCACTTGACTAGCGGCTCGAACGTCGTCTTCAGCTGCTCCATCCGCTCCTTCGCCTTCTCGCCCTCGTTCAGCGTGAATCCCTCCTTCGCGACGTTCTGGAACTTCTTGCCTTCGAACTCGGACAGTGACGAGATCGCGTACTCGTCCGCTGCCTCGGACAGTTGCAGCACTTCGTAGCCTTTCTTCTCGAGGCGCTCAACGAACGGCGACTTCCTCACCTCGTCTTCCGACGATCCGGCGATGTAGTAGATGTGCTGCTGATTGGGCTTCATACGGGAGACATAGTCGGCCAAGGAAGTATACTCCTTCTGCGTGGAAGACCGGAACAGCAAGAGTTTCGACAGTCTTGCACGGTTCTGCACGTCATCGACCAGGCCCAGCTTCATGTTCGTGCTATACTCCTTCCAGAACTTCTCGTATTCCTCTTTGGGGATCTTCTTGATCATATCCAATACTTTTCTGACCAATTTCTTCTTGATCACCTTGATCAGCTTGTGTTGTTGCAGATTCTCACGGGAAACGTTGAGCGGCAGGTCGTCGCTATCCACGATACCGCGGATAAATGACAGATAATTCGGCATCATGTCGGTGAACTTGTCGGTAATGAAGACTCTCCTGACATACAACTTGATGTTGTCAGATTTGGTGCCGTAACGATTGAAACTGTCGCTCGGTTGTACCTTGGGGATGAACAGCACGGACTTGAACGTAACTTCGCCCTCGGCGACGAAGTGTATCTTCGCCAACGGCTCTTGATTGTCCTTGGTGAGCGTCTTGTAAAACTCACTGTACTCCTTATCGTCGACTTCACTCGGTTTCAGCGTCCAGATCGGCTTGGAGTCGTTCAACACTTCCCAGTCCCAAACGGTCTTGTCTATCTTCTTGGGCTTCTTCTCATCTGCGTCCTCCTCCACCTTCGCGTCGTCTTCATCCTCCGTCTTGTCCTCAGAAACGTCTTTTTCCGCGTCCTCCTTCACAGGTTTCTCGTCGTCATCCTCGTCGGCGTCAACCTGAACGACCTTGCTGTTCCACAGATATATGGGGAAGTTGATGAACTGAGAGTACTTCTTCACCAAAGTTTTTATCGTGTCAGGTTCCAAGAAGTCCAGCGCTTCGTCCTTCAGGTGCAAGCTACGAAACAAAGTGCAAATCGGTATCAATTGAACGTTCAAACTTGGAGATTTTACGATTAGCTATAGGATAATTTTCAGATTGAGATATTTTAGTCTTAGACCGTGTCATTTACCTGACAGTTGTTCCTCTCTTCAAGGTATCTCCTCGCGGATCTTCGACGATGCTGTAACTGCTGCTGTCAGACTCCCAAATGTACTGCTTGTCATCGTTATGTTTGGTGGTAACGACCACAGTATTTGCAACTAAGTAGGCAGAGTAGAAACCCACACCGAACTGACCAATCATGTCGTTCATGTCTTGAGCGTTCTTGGCCTCCTGCATCTTCCCCAAAAATTCCGCCGTTCCGGACTTTGCGATGGTCCCGAGATTATTCACCAGGTCTTGCTTAGTCATACCGATACCAGAATCCATTATATGTAGCACCTTGTTTTCTTTGTCAGCCTTCAGTCTGATAGCTAATTCACTGTTGGTGTCCAGTACGCTCTTATCGGTAAGGGACAACAATCTGATCTTATCCAGAGCGTCGGATGCATTCGAGATCAATTCTCTGAGGTAAATTTCCTTATTACGGTAAAGGGAATTAATGATAAGTTTCATCATACGATTGACCTCGGTCTGAAACTCAAATTTCTCAGCTTTGTCCCTCAGCTCCTTCATCTGAGCGATATTTAAGCCGTCTATTTTTATTGCCTCTTCTTCTCTTTGAACCGCTTCGTGATCTGTAACGTGTGCAGTTAATTAGGAAATTTTCCTTCTCACCGACGATTCTTAAACAAAACAACAAAAGTAAAACAAAGATATTTTTAATTAACCAAGTAACGCAAATGTAACACATTCCGAATATATTGGCTGTTTTTTTCATTTTTTATGTATTTCATTAAAAAAATCAACTAGAATAGTACACGGGACAGGCTCTTCCCATCTGTTGTATTTTTCACACACGCGCAAGCATTTGTTACGATCGAATCTTGGGATCGCATGTCTCAAATGTGATCTTATCATAAGTTAAATTACAGGACACAAACCTGTTCGGGATGCCTCGCGACTCGCGCCGAGATCGTTATCCACGGTTCCGGCATTCTCCTCGCTTTCGCTGGCCGAGACAAGTCCTGCGGGACGGAGAAGCGCGAATAAGTACGATCATATAGGCGGCTTGTCGAGGACGCCACAATTGGCCTCAAAGAGTTACAGAACCATCACTCACCCGCCAGCATGAACAACGCCACAGCCAGTATGCAGAAGTTCTTCATCGTCGCCGCGTACTGTGAGCGGTAGACGAGAAAAGACACGGTCTCGGCGAACCACGTACAAATCCGGCCAACGTCACCGACCACGTCCAACTCGCCGATTGTCACGGAACCGCCGCGATGACGACGGGATATAGCAGGCACCGGCGAGCTGGCCGGCCAATCATCTCGAACCACGGCAGCAGCCGCTCGCCAATAGCGAGCGCGCCGGTACTAGATTCATCCAAATGTCCTCGCGCTATTGGCCCAGCGTTACACATGCCTCCTCACACATTTCCAGAAGATTACACAGTGCCGGATATATCAGTTCCGTGCATGGTGTGCAGTTATCATGCCCTATGGGGAATCGAATTATCAACAATTACGCACAGCCAGTGGAGATAAACGAATTCGTCCCTGCGAAAGGGTGAAATTTGAGGCGAAATTTAAGTTACGCTCGACTAAGTTCGGTCGCCCCGATTGCCGGTAATGTTACCGGCGACGAAGAGTGAGAATATTATATTTCATATTATATTCGTCATAAATATTAGCGAATTTGTGACAACGGTGATAAACTTGACGAAAAAAAGGATGCATCATTCGGTGAAAATATAGATAGTTTTCTCGCTTCTACCTGCTTCGAAATTCGTTTCAGCAAAGACGGAAATCTGCCGGAGAATCGACACACCTGACGAAATTCACTTGCGCCCTGACGTCCTCAACACCGTCGCGGTACCGTATTGAGAATTAGCAAGAATTTATCGTAGATGTGGAACGGTATCGTCGATGAAGAATCCTACGTCGGTAAACGCAGTATGAATTATTATCAGTGGATAATACCCTCTGTCGGTAATATCAACGCTCCTCAATTACCGCCGGGTCCTCTCGGTGTTTACTGAACTACTCCAGAAACGACGGTCTTCGTTATTCACCTCCTCGGCGACTTCAATTCGTCATCTTAGTAGTTAGTACGATTTCGGATCTTTACCTCCGATATTGTTGTACAATTACGCTCGTTCATATTGCAGCATAATTATAGCAATATTGGAAGTGAAGACCCTAAACCATATAATTCATTGTCATCTTTTCCGGATACCCACGATATCGCACGTAACCAGGTAAAAAGAAAAGCAGCCATTGTTACAATCTCCCGCTCTCTGCCATCGACTTGTCAACGCGTTGAGTAAGTATATATTTGGTATCGTCACGATCGACTATCAATCACCATCGTCCGACCATCGTGACCGTCGATGCGTACATGAGTCGTTATACCGTAATAACGTTTATGTTGCATCGTGCACACGTGCACGCGTGTTATCACATCGCTCGCTTCGCGATGCCGGGTTGCATTACGATTCGCGCGAGAAAGACAAATGCTAGGGGTTCAAGAGCACGCGAAACGCGGCAATGACGCGCGAGCCACATTGTAAAATAAGGTATCGGCCGTGCGCTGGTGTGGTGGCTCTACCGCGCATCAACCGGCTCTAGTAAGTAGAACTGATCAAATATGTACGGTAATTTATCCAGTTCGCGGACTTCCCACCGGGAATGCCGCGTTCGGCCCTGCTGCGAAACCGATATCAATCGAACCGACGGAGGTCAAGGTGACATCATCACGCATTCGCGAAAATAAACAGTCGTCGGTTTTATAGTCTAATGATAATATACGTTGTTACGTGTGTTAAACTCGGCAAGTAACATCGAATTTTCTATCAATTGTTTTCTGTATCCGTGATAATGTGAAGTCAGCACTGTTGCGTCATTCTGTCCTTACCGCTCGTGAGACGTAGAACAAGGACAGAATGAGGTAATAACGCTGAAAGCGCACCCTTCGAAGGCAGCTTAAAAATCGCATATCTTCGAACGTAGGTAGATTACGAAATGCTGATAAAGATTAACGTATCGATCATCATCTCTTCCTTTCTCGCAGTGATCGCATCCCGTTGGGTCAGTTTTACAGATCGACGTTTGATGTTCGAAGGTCAACGCATGCGTGTTACGATGTCGTTCGATAGAGAAGAGGAATGCACGTGGTTGGACGAATTTGCGACAACAATGACCGGATGCGAGAATGGTTCGATGACAAGGTACCCTCCCTAGGCCCGCTGTCATCACGGCGATTACGTGATTTGCGATGCGTTGTGCAACGAAGCGCCATACGACGCTCCCTTCGACGGGCCCAGTTCGGAGATGCATTTTGCGTCGCAATTAATGAAGCGAAAAGCGAGACGGAAGATGGGGCGACGCGTAAGGCTCTCCTCTCTATTAGATTTAATTACTAATTTATTTATATCCGTGGAAACGCAATACGACCTTTAACATTCTTTGCACGTGCGATAGTGCGGAGTTTAATTCGTGTTCGCGTTATGGAACTATACATGTTTTATATATTTGTATAACAAAGGAAAAAAATTAAAAACAATCTGTGGGTCCTGCAAATGAATCATAAATCTTTTTTTAGGAAATGTGAAAGTCTAAAATCTTCACCTTAAAATTTTCATCATTCACAGAGAAAAAAATTGGTTAAATTAACCGGAGAAGAAACCCGGATTTCCGGTGAACCAAGTTCCTTGGAAATTCTGTTTTCCTTCAACCGAAATACGTTTGGTTCCTTTATCGTTAACAGTGAGAACTGCGAATGTTGTTTCATCAAAACGGGTTCGGTTGTCCACCAAGTAGATTCAACCGGGTTCTTCTCTCCGTACGACGACGCGTTAACTCGCACATTAATCGCGCAAAAAGACCCCCTTCACGACCAATTCTCTCTCTGTGACATTTTGTAAAATCACAGCGGCGTTTTCTCCGGCGAGTCGACAACCCCGCGAGTCCAACCACCCTCTCTCGGCTGCGTCGTCGTTCGAGCTAAGATCCCCGGTTCTTCGATCGCTCAGCGTGCCCGACGACGGCGATCGGATGAGCGATCGATGGATCGGTCGATCGTGCAATCACCGATGGCTCGCGATGCGCGTGTTGTGACACGCCGGTCGTTATGGATACGTGTCGCCGGGACCGGCTTTACTGTATAGGCTCTTCCCTCGCGTCACACGGCACGCTCACGCCGGGGGTGTGTACGCGATGTGTGTCGTCGCGCTATAGGATCGTGCCCGTGCCATGCCGAGGGATCGCCACTCGGCTGCCGATCCTCCGCCGGGAAAATACGTCGCGTCGCCGCTGCCGAAGAGGACGCCGCGGAGAAGAGAAGCGTTCCTCTGAACCGCCCCCCGAGTGGCCGCCGCTCTCCCTCGATCTCCGCGCTGCCCCTGTTGCGCGAGTCCTCCGTTCGCTTCCTCCACGGTCCTTCGGCGGAAGCTGCGCGAGCCGAGGTGAGTGGTACCGCGCTCCGGAGGGACGTCAACCGTCCTCCTCGAGCCTCCTTAGCGCCTCCCTCGTCCTACGAATCGCACTGGCTTTACGCAGAATTCGCGCGTTTCCTCTCTCTCTCTCTCTCTCTGCAATTGTTGATGGACGGAATTGATGGACGATTATGTCCTTTTGAAATTTAAATGACGGGTTATTCGCGGCCGAAGGGCGTACTTTGACCCTCGTCGGTGTGTTTAATCGTCAAACGCTCGCAGTCGCGTGACTAAAAACGCTCGCCGAGGGACCCGCGTCTCAAAACGCGTAATAAAATGTGCCCCGCCTATCGTTCTACTTTCCGCACCGCGGCTATTTTCTCGGAATGTTCTCGTAACCGACCGGGCCGTCCGCTAATATTTAATATCCCGTCGGTGTTCCGATTACCGACAAAACAGCTCTTGCGCGGGCCGGAAAGCCGAGGGGCAAAGTCGATAGCGCCGATCGGGTCCTTGTACTTCGCGACTATATACACCGTGTCATGGAGGAATGTCCGCCTGGTGTCTCCCGATATTACTTATGACTTTAACCTTCCGCACATTTACCAACAGCTCAAGCAGCACGGGAATATGCCAATTGCGATTTCCCGGTACGCCGACATTGACCGCGCGGAGAATCCTTTGAAATTTCCACGGACGACGTGTATTGTCGCGTCTACCTTTAAACTTTAGGTAGTTTCCTTCCGGATAGTTGGATCGTTTCTTTCTCAACGAACTAGTACAAAACGATCCCTCTTGTGACTTTGTTGAAACTTACGCGACGCAACTGCCGAAACGTTCGATAAAAGTAACGGAGTATTTGTCCTCCCGCCACGTGTCTCCAATTTAATACATTTTGTATCAGGGTTTTTTTTTTCTTTTTACTCGGCCTAGAACTTAGTATCAGCCTGTAGTGAAAAGAACGAGAAGTGTCTGCTAGCGAACGCCAGACAACGGGGAGGTCTTTGTGCGACCGGAGCTCTTAGGATGGATGACGCGTTTCTCGACCGCCGCGGTGACGAAGTCCGGGAAAAATGTCCCCCGTGAAAAGTAATTCGAGTTAATTGGTGAGTCGACGGACACACATGTGACCCCGCGGAGACACCGGGCACGTAAACGTTGCTGGTTCAATGTAGCATTTACCGGCGAGTTGACGTTGAACGCGACTAATCAATGACCCATTTTGCGGATCTGCCTTCGTGCGCGCGCGATAATGGAATTAGAAAAAAGTTTCCGCTGCCGCGTGCGCGAAAGAAGAAACTGCGTCACGCTAGCGATTTTGCGTTGCGCGGCCCTGAAAACAAAGCGGACCTCGAGAAATGTTACTTTCTGCTCGTTCGCCGAGAAAAGAAAGCAGCGGTAGAACCGACGAAATTCTGCTCGTACGGACGAGATATTCTTTCAAGCGCAACGCGCTATCGGTTTTTCTGTTGGAAAGAAAATTATATAGTCGCTGCGATAAGTTGTGCATCAGTTTGCTCAACGACTGCGATTTTGCCAGCAACTGCGCGAAACGCGTATTCCAGCGTAATTTGTTCAGCGGACACGATAATTTTTCGAATGAGGGTGATTTCGTCGATTTTTTCCTCTCACTGTCGCAGTTAACGCGAACGCTCCTCAGCTGTGAAGGACGCGAGAGCGATCGCTCTCCTCGCATTCTTCACAGCTGAAAGCGGACGTCCTTTTTCCTTTCTTCCGCGACATCTTCATCATTATTAGGAACTCGCTCTCGTCGAAGAGCGATATGCTCCCACAGCATCGTCGTGTTATCTGCGACATTTAGTTTTAGAGCGTAAACGTCAGCTGTTCCAGATCTTTTTCTCTCCCTCCACCTGTCGTCGCACCTGACTCACAGCCTGTCACGTGAGCTGATGACGTTTTCCTTTCAGCAATGTTCAGTCTGAGGCCTCAGAGCGCCACTACGAGAAAGGAGATTGAGATGATCAACAAATGCCAACGGGCTGTACACAACACCACCGACTGCATGGAGAAGCTGCGTCTGCTCTGCTTGGCTAGGGGTGCCAACGGCATTCTTGGTCTGGGTAGGTAAGTCTCTTGACGGCGAGCATCCATTAATTATGCACCGAAATAGACTGGAAAGATTATTCGAAAGTGTGCGTTGGCCTTCGTACGCGTTTAATCGCAATACCGGCGTGCGGCGAACCTGTCTTGGCCAACGATCGCCATTTACGAATACAAAAAGACGCGACAGATCTCTTCTAATGATATACTTTCTAATGATGTGATTCAATAAATATTCTGATAACTATTACGTACTCCGATAATTATGGATTAATTGGAAGGGGCCGATAAGAGCCGGCGCTCTGGTAATTGGGAAGTTAAACAAATTATTTGATTGCAAAGTTGATAGATCAAACGTTTCGATCGAAGGTTCCGACCCTTCTCAATGAAAATTATTGACCGAGTCGAATAATTTGTGAGAATAATTTAATTTCGTAAGTGATTACCAGCGTCGACTCTTCCAGTTATTCAAGGATTGTACATTTCGAAAGCCTTGCTTATGTATTCTTCTTTTTCGCTGATATTTATCGAAACGAAATAAGCCTTGACTGTAGTCTTTTAATATTCAAAAAACGTTGGAAAGCGGCGTCAGTCATCCACAAACGAGATTCGATGTCACGGTGTATGCGGTAACGATACGGTTTTCTTTTCTCTCACGCACGATGAGTCAGTTTAAACGATCGTCCTTGACTTTCCTGGACACGCAACTGCGACTCCTTCCGATTTCGAATCTCATCCGATGTTACGACGCTAATGTATTCCAGGGCGTTCCGTCGTATGGACGACGATGGCAACAAGAAGCTGAATCTCGAGGAGTTCACGAAAGGCCTGGAGGAAACCGGACTGGAATTGTCCGAAGATGAAGTCAACGAGGTCTTTCGAAAATTCGACACTGACGAAGACGGCAACATTACCGTCGACGAGTTCATCGTCGGCATAAGAGTGAATATCTCAGCACAGAGAAAAATATCATTCTATTGTTAAAAGAAGCGATTGCTCAGTTTATTTTCCTTCTTTCAAGTAATCATTATCTTTAACAACAAAATATTCCTTTTCTCTAATAGTCTTAAAATATAGTTATCACAAAATTTAGAAAAGCGAATTATCATGTACTCAAGAGAAAAATTTACTTTCTTCTCGAGAATATTATAAATTTTATTGAAGAAAAGTTAAATTTAGTTTGTTTTAATTTAATATTCTTGAAGTACAAAGCATGTACTCTCTAAAGGGTCCAGAATATATTTTGAATACATTTGTTACTTATGAGATATATTTACAGATATATATAAGCTTGTGAAATACTTCGAACAAGTAATATTTACTTGAACGCAGTGTGTATTTTTCTTTGCGCATCAGTCCGCGACTTCAAGCTATATTTTACATAAAATTGATTACACACTCTTGTCTAATTTATGATTTTTGTCCAATTTAATTATTATTCAAACATTATTTCTCGTAACTGACTATTTCTTCGACCTTCAATCGCGGAGGAATTTCATACCAGAAATCGCATGCGTTTCCCTTCTTTTAGCCCGAGATGTCTCAATGCCGCAAAAATGTAGTCGAGCAGGCGTTCCAGAAATTGGACAAGACCGGCGACGGACAGATCACCATCGACGACCTGAAGGGGGTCTACAACGTCAAGTGTCACCCGCGTTACATCAGCGGCGAGGAGAGCGAGGAGAGCATTTTGAACAAGTTCCTGGCCAACTTCGAGCAGGGCGTCGCGGACGGCATCGTAAGTGCTTTAATCGCTTTATTTCTCATATCAAGTCGTGATTAAATTGAATCGCTCGAGAATCCGTGGAATCCCGAGTCAACGAATCTCTATCGGATGTTTCCTAATCGAGTTTATGACCCGCAGCTGCGCTCAATCGCATTATCGGTAATTGCGGATCAGTGAACAGCTGTGTCGAATCGGTCACCATTGGCCAAAAAGACGCGATTGATCCTCCTGACGTTCTAATAATTATTCTGACAAAATTACATAACGTGTTCTCATAATTGTTGAAACGAAATAAAACTCGACTATAATCTTTTAATTTTCAGAAAGCGTTAGAAAATTCAAAATGAATTTGGACGTTAATCGACGGAACGAAACTCACGAAACGTCGGATCTGAATCGTATTTCATTTGTTAATAGAAACGTGAAACAACCGCGCATAATCATGTTTAATCCAAATATTTGTCATCATTATCTCTCTCTCCAGTTCCAGTTTCCTCCGTAGATAATTGTCTGATTCTGCGCCAGCGAAATGACTCATTTTTTATTCCAATGAAATCATCGGTCCATTTCGACAATGTCGATTTTCCTCGACATCCCTGAATCATGCTCTCCGATGTTGAACTTATAGAAAACTCTCCGCGTTTTCCTCGGAAAAATATTACGAAGATTCTTAATCCAGAAAGTTGGCTATAATATAAAACTTTTATACACATATATATAATTTTACTATATAATAATAATAATAATAATAAATTTTATCATATAGCAAAAATATTATATAAATTATAAATATTATATAAAATATTATATAAATATTATATAAAATATTATATAAATATTATATAAAATATTATATAGCAAAAATATTATTAATTAACTCATTAGTTTAATTATACGGCGGGATTAGTTATTTGAATAATTTAATCAGAGAAATCCACATTTTTCCGGTTCACCTTGCGAGGATATTTCGGTGTATTTTCATACATACCGTCCACCTGTTGACAACACGTGCTCACTGAAACGTTTCTCTCTTTGCTGCAGGTGACGGAGGAGGAGTTTATGAATTACTACAGCGCTATCAGCGCGAGCATAGATCACGACGCTTACTTCGACTTGATGATGCGCAACGCTTACAAATTGTGAATCTCGAATCTCCGACATTTACACTCGGACGACACGACGTCTCATCCTGCCCCTCTCCGTTCGGCGATAACCGTCGTGGCTACACCAAACGAATGTATAAATTACTGTCATTATTACATTGTACCCAGCGTGCTTCAGCTTGTAGTTAAATCCGCACGTAGTCCTGATTGCAAGTCTAAAAGTGTTACAACACGTTGTCTTTCGATAATGATAATCGCCAGTCGCCCAATTAATTTCGACGATCGAATTTAATAATGCATATATACATACACACACACACACGACACCCCTATATGTATACGTGCAATTCTATTAATCATTATAATTCATCGCAACGCGCGTCCTCGACGAGGGAGAAGAGGCGCGGAAGGAAGATCGGTCTGAGGAGACTCATGAAAAATTTATTCGCCGACCCGTTGCTACCCCCCCCCCCCCTTTTCCTCTTTNGAGTGTCAGACAGTTCGAGAGATTCGTTTAATTTGTAAAAAGGAGTTCGGCGAATTTGCGAACAAAGTGAAGAAACGAGGCCGAGCCTCCGCCGCGTCCCTCGCTCCTGCGACGCCCCAATTAATTGTCGGTAACGACAGAAGTTGGTTGTAGGGTCCAATTCTATTTAGCGCGCGAGTGCGACACGCATAATGTATACGCTGATAACCACCGCAACACAAATCGCGCGCTCTCTCTCGTGCTTTTTATAAGCGTGCCTCTGTAAAGAAAAATGCGATGCGCTCGCTCGCCTGCAAATAAAAACAGCGGTTAGACCGGCGGTTGAGCCGCCGACCGCAAAAATGATCTCTTGACGTACGTGTGAATGATTATTGCCTTTCTCCCAATACCGCGATGTATCACGCTCCGGATGGCGCACACAGAGTCTGCGCGTCTCCGTTTCCTTTGCACGCTTTGGCTTCTCGATTAGTTTAAAGTAGTTCCGCCAACAAAATAACGCGTTTATACCAATATTTCGGGTCTTTCGATAAGTTCACGCGGACTTTTACGAAGAACTCGAAGCCGACACCTCCACTGTCAGGTGCTTGGATTTTGTTCCTTTTTTTTGGTTCGATGCCGAAAATTGTGCCGAAAATAAAAGTATCGTCTTTTGAATCCTTTGCAAAAATCCACGTATAAACTTATCCAACAACCCAATATATTCTGACGCTATATAATTGTTTAAATCGTGTCGATATGTTAATATTGTCTGTGAGAGAAGAAAAACTGCGATTATTTCTCAGAAGTCATAAGGATAAGATAAGCACTGCGTGCAGTTCCTATGACTAATGTAATGATTAATGCAATCAACGTCTCTCTCTCTCTCTCTCTCTCTCTTTCTTTCTCTCTCTCTATTCCTCGGCAGGGAAATGCTTCCGCTCACAAGCGAAGTTAACTCGACCAAGACATGAAGAACAGAGAACTAATTGTCGAGTCGAAAAAACATACGTCGAAGGCATAATTTAATTTGACATAAGGGGTTGTAATAATACTCGTAATATACAAACGTGACGTTCTCAATACTCGGGAATAAACGATGATGGCGAATTCCACGGCTCTAATTGCATCGGAATGAACCACTTTGTCGAAAGAGCTGCACGCGATAGCAGCGGGACATTTATCACACACATTGTCTCTCTCTCTCTCTCTCTTCCTTTATCTTTGGAAAAAACTTTTATCTTCGCACAAAATCGAGCTGTGTGCAACGGGTGCGGTCGAGGCGTTTCGTTTGCAATCAAGGTCTTTTAGCAACAGCTGCGGTACAAAAATCCGCCGATACTTGCTACGTGCCGCCGGTGTGGATAATTATGACTAATTGAAATTTAACGCACGATCACGGCATAATCAATGGTCGCCACGATAAAATGCGGTTTCGTCGAGTCGTGCCGCACGCTTCTACTAGGTTTTTACAGAGACGACACTGTGCTCAGTTCAGGTTGGAATTATATAGCTCCGATTAATTCCGATGAATCAATTTTACGCCTGTCGAATGCGAGAAATCTCGAAAACTAGTCAAGTTTGACGGATGCTCAAAGAAACAAGGTCTCAGTCTAAGACTTGTGGAATCGAGTAAAGTCAAGTCGTGTAAAAAGCAAACGATAATATGCAGAGCAAAATGAAATGTAAAAGAAAGTGAAAAAAAGAACTGCATCGGCCGGGAATCGAACCCGGGCCGCCCGCGTGGCAGGCGAGCATTCTACCACTGAACCACCGATGCTCGATAGAACTCGTTCTCTGGCATAGTCTAGTCCTAATAGCATGGACTACATTTTAATTTGTATAAATTCATCTTTACACATTTCGCACACGTAACGTTCAAACTTTCTCCAATTCACAGCTCCGAGAAATATCCTTGAATTTATCGTATCATCGCTAGTTCCCTAACTGTCTCGCGAATTTTGTGTTACATAAATATTGTCACTTGTCAAAAATAAGATGTATGGAGTAAATTTATACGCATAAAAAAAAGATGCAGAAAATAACAAAAGCTGAAGCTAATTGTTGTTTTGTAGAAAAAAAAAGAATCCTCCCCGGCGGGGAATCGAACCCCGGTCTCCCGCGTGACAGGCGGGGATACTAACCACTATACTACCGAGGACTCTTGATGGAGATGCTCCAAGAAGAGCTTATCTGTGTCCAAGCACGACTGATGCATACTCGAATAAATGATATATAATCAATTAAACAAGTTCCCCTTCAAGTTTAAAAAATGTTTTGACATTATTAATGCAAAACATAATTCATATAAGGTGAATCAAGTTCTGATTAATTTAATCAACGATTAACTTAACCGAATTGTCCAATTACATTGATCAGTTCCGCTAATTGGCCAATTAATCAATCAATTCTGTTGAGTTAGTCGTCGATTAGGTATAAATCATGATGTTAGAAACGAACATTAGCTGCGTTTGAGATTTTGCCAATCAGAGACACTGATTTGCTCTTGAGATTATCGTAAGATAATATCCAGCCAATGGAACGATTGTTTTTTCGGAGCAAACCAATGCCTCCGATATGCAGAATCAAACGTAGCAAGTGAATCAACGCGATTCATCCTCACCGACAGCGTTCTCGGCTTTCAGTTTGGACCTCTCTTACCCGTCAAGATCCACGCCTACGTTTGAACATGGCGCGACCGAGAGATGGCGCGCGGCGCATGCGTATAAACGGATGCATGCGTCGAGAACTCTCAGTAAGCGCGTGTCGTTGCTTTAAGGATTTTCTTTCTACTACTTTCGTCGTCCGAATCCTCTCCCTACTTCGCTTCACCTGCTGTGCTGTGAGCAGCCTGCGCGTATCGAGGTTTCGTCGCGAGGAACTCGCTGACTAAAAACGACGTGCCGGTCTAGTACGAGGCACGATTGTGACGTGCGTGCGTCTTGCTTAGAGGCGTGCGTGACTTGACGCACACACTCGGAAAAACTGCAGTGTTGCGGAACAACGAGTCGGCGATACCTGGGATTATCGTCATCTACCTCGAGAGCGCAGTACGGAAACGTTCAGGATGAAGCGCACCATATTCACTGCCGTAGTGTTATTCCTCGGTAAGTTTCCGGATAGCTAATTGTCCATTCATCGTCGTCGTCATCGTAAGCCTTCCGCGGAACTCCCTCGTCAACGCTGAAAATCAGATTTCTCCCTGTCGCAATGTGTTGAACCAGTGTCGGATTCGAGGCATCGCAGAGAATTGCGAGTCCGAGATTATAGTTCGATGAATCGGACAACTTCGATCTTAGGCTTCGTTTATTCCGATTGCCCAAGTTTCAACGTTCAAACCGCGGTGTTCGGTGATCTCCGATCTGATAACGGGCTTTATAAACGACAACGATGAACTATGCGGCCGATTACCAAAACCAACGTTATCTTACACGGTGTTGGATATGTAAGACCTATACCTTTCTTGGTGAGAGATATTTCCGAGTTATTGAATTGATGCGAAAGTTCGCTCATTTTTTCAATTGGCTCTTCGCTCGGAAGTCCAAGAATCTCTACGGAATCGCGGGATCCGTGCGACTACCGGAGAGATAGCGGGTCATCGAACGAAGCGTAAATAAAAATTAAACCGAATGAATATTATATAATTATAGTTGTAAAATTGTAGAAAGACCCGTTTTCTCTCAATTTCTCAGCGGATTTTTTCGGTGTTTCTATCCCAGGGAAAATTCATGCAGAAAAAGTCACACGCGTGTTCGGTTAAACCCGCCACGTTTATTTTGTATTCGTAGAGACGATAAGAAACTGAAAATATCCGCGGAATAATGGGATAGAAAACAGTTTTTTCCGAGGCCTTGAAACGCAGTTCTCTTAAATGATCTCTTAAATAAGACCGAAAATGACTAGATACATTGCTTTTTTCAAACTAAACTGGATACGAATAAATCGTTATTATACAGACATTACGGATACACATTTTTTTAGTAAAAATTTATTCCAGTATCAACGAGGAAAAACAGACAGTTCGAAATAAATTATCGGGTTGACGCAACAGTCCGTTACGGATACACATTTTTACTAAAAAAATGTGTATCCGTAACGGACTGTTGCGTCAACCCGATAATTTATTTCGAACTGTCTGTTTTTCCTCGTTGATACTGGAATAAATTTTTACTAAAAAAATGTGNATTAAATCATTGGAATACTCGGGAGGGTAGCCTTGGGCGATACGAGATATTCTCTTTGTGGTTAGTAAAACCTTGTACCTGTGATTGGTGGAGTAGCTGCGTGTAGAATCTGCAATTCAATGATCCGTAACGATCGAGCGATCCACAGCAGATCGTCAGGTTAATCGCACGTTCGTGCAAAAACGCTTTCCGGAAAAGACTTCTCGTCCTTGCGTGCGTATGTCGCCTGAGTTTTCCGACCTGAGGGAACGCGGAGTTGTCTTGTGCGCACAGCGGAGATCTGATTAGGAAAATTACTTGATCTCGTTGAGACTCAAAAAGACAAAAAGCTTTGTGTGTACGTACTGTCAGGAACTGAAACCTTCGGGGATAGACCGCGCGAGGACACGACAACGATGTCGCGAACATTGTTTGTTTTACCGGACGTGATGGATTACGCATCGAAACACAAGCATTACGTACGCATTAAATCCATAAATAAGATAAGACCGAGTCCGTCGAGGAATTTACGACAAGTCGAGGAGCACGTTCCCCCTTTCATTTCTAACGTCACAACTTCGGCTTTAAATTCGACTTTAATTTCAATTTCAAATTCTGCTAGAAATTCGAGTGTATCGAATATCCAACGTGGATACGACGGCTTTCTAAATCGCATATTGCGGCCTGATCATTGTTATATAACAAAGATGTTATGCTTGTTTTTTTTTTTACAAGTTTCGCAACATTCTCGACGATGTTTGCCCGTGTGATGCGAAAGTCCGAGGTTTCATACGTAACACTCGAGACGCTCCGGACGGATCACCTTCGTGACTTCTTTCCTTACGATAAGCCACTCGTTATTATACTTTTTAACGATTAATAATACGCCACATTAGCCACGATGACGAAATCAGCGGGACGACCGCGAACAACGTGTGGTTTTCAATCAGGTTTAATTGTTACATCCGCTCGCGCGTCCGCCGAAAACAGATCGAACGTCGGAATTCGTCGACCTCGATTTCTGTTCGGGATTAATCGTGATATCGCCTCGTGAACAGTTGTCAAGTTAATTATTGCCGTTCGTCTCATTACGTCGGATATGAGAATATGCGACACATCTTCGATCATCAGATCCTCGATCCGTGCACGCGATAACGTTCGATCGTTGATCGACAAGTTATTATTATAGCCAGTCGAGTCTTTGCACTTTGCTCCGCGATTGTGCATTTAAATGCGTCGTCTTGGAGGCTACGTTATCGATGTCAACCGGTAAAACTCTATTGTTAGAGTGCGCCGTCTCAAAGAAACGATTAGCATCGTGAAAGAACAATTCGTCTTGTCGTAACGATAACGAAGAGAGAGAGAGAGAGAAAAAGAAAAACAAAAGCACCGCGGCTCGTTATCGAGGAGATGTCCTCGCGCTTCTCGTTGCATAGTAATAGACGATTTACGTAAAATTACCGCTGGAAATGCAAAAAGACGTGTTAGAGGTCGGCGTTTCGCGAGTTTATGTGCGATGTTCGCGCCGACGACGATGGAAAGAAACACAATGAAATACAGATAAAACGCGACCGTTGACGCCGGTACAAAGTCTCCGAAGATTACGCGCGCGATTCATTCCATACAAGAAGGAGGAAATGACCCGAACAACACGGATAGCTGGCGATTTTTCAATTTGAGAACGAGCTGCGTGACCAAGATGCGATTCTCGAAGTAATCTCGATGTGACGAAGAGTCCAGAGGTAGAAACCTCGACCCGGCCGCTCTTTCGGGGCTGTTTTTCGCGCAAGAAAACTATGTTAAAGCAATTAGAGAAATAAGCCGGTATTTACAATTAGATCGTCTAAAGTTCACCGTTCAAATGTTTAGTAGTACAATGAAACGATTCGTACAGCACGAAAAGCCGAACTTGGGGCGATCTTAAATAGAAGAGAGTCGCTTTAAATAGAAAAGAATGCGCGTACCAGTCGCTTGAATCTCATCATTCATTTCTATAATTATTGAATATAATAATAATAATAATAATAATAATAATAGCAATAATGAGCCGATCTGGCGATAAATATATAAAATAGTACAACCAAAACTCGGACAAATTGCATTGTGCTTTTTGTGTAGTGTAAACATTTAAAGAATACTTTAAGTAATATTATTTTGGCAACTCTCCCCTATCCTGAGTTGACTGTGAATAAAATATGCGCTTGATTAAGAGGAGGCCAAAGTCGATAACTAATTTAATAAGCGACGATAACGTAGAAGCGAATAAATCCTTCAAACATTACGTTACTTAAACGCTGACACGATCACGCTGCCCTGTTTGCAGGTCTTGTAAATCTTACGTAAATGTAATCGCTATGTAAATACGAAAGCAATGAATATTCTCTGCTCTATATTACCATATCCAACGAAAAATCTAACCAGGATAATATAAAAATTGGCGAACTTTTTGTATCTTCTTAGGCTTCTGAATGTAACAAAGAAGCTATAAAAGTGTTAAAAAAAATTTCCCGATTAGATTATTGACACATTCGGTATATGCAAGCTGCGAGATTTCTGTATTAAGTAAATATTTACGCTGACTAATTAGCTCGAGATTTCAACGTTGAAATTGTTTTATCATTTCTGTTATATTGAGCGATGTTTCAATTCATTTTTGCACGTATTCTTTCGCTATGCGCGAATATTTGTAATTGTATGCAATCTAAAGTATGACACAAATTTTGCCGGCATAGTTTTCTCAAATATAACATTCCCTCAACGGCATTCTCTTAAAGGCAACAAACAGCTAACAACTGTTCCACTTACTGTTCTATTTACTAGCTAAACGAATTAATGTATGATTAATTGCAAGACCATTACCATACCGCTGATATTGCTTACGTTGTACTACACGGAATGGTACTCTTTTTTTTTTCAACGCAGCGACTTTTACTGCGATTCGAAATAAATTTTCAAGATCCAGTGTTGTATGGTCGGTGGGGGAAAAGTCGCGACGTTTTTATCTCGATGCACTTGAGAACCGATAGGCAGAATTTATCCTCTGCGAATGACGAGAAAATAAATTCTTCCGTCTTGATGTATGCGTCGTGAAACTCATCGCGCGTTCACTCATCGTAAAAAGCGGGTTCACTCATCGCGATCTTTGCGCTCGCCGATCGCACGGCACTGCGAAATGAGAGTTTCCACGCAGCGTTCACGCGTATCAATTCACCGATCCCGTGAATAAAAAAAGAAAAAAAAACGTACAGTCGCGGAATTACTTCCGGGAATTTATCTTACCGGGATAGAGCGGGCGCGTTATTTTCTTTTTTTTTCTTTTTTTTACACGAGACAGAAGCGACGCGATGGAATTGCGCGTGCGAAACGACATGTAACGACGTTAATTAAACTCACGAGAGAGGTTGAAGTACAGCGGAAGGGTAGGGGGGAGGAGAAAACGTTAATCGGTCTTGCACCTGTGGTAGTAAATGTGTACTATCGACGATGAACTTCGATATAAAATTTGCGACCTCATCGTGATTCGCGAGGCGCGTAATTCACGACAATTATTCAATGCGATCGATAAAACTAAGACTAAAAATATTATTGCGTGAGCGGTGGCGGAGCGGCGAGCGCGCTCGCGGTTTGCATTTCGAGTTATCGAGGCGATATACGTTTTCTAGCGTGTAACTTTGTATCCGCAATTATATGCCGGCCGAGTTGATTGCTACTCGTTCCCCTCTTAACAAGCGACAACCGTAGTCCGTGCAATTTGCTTATTTCTTTCTTTCTTTTCTTCCCAGGTCTTCTCGGGCACACGCATTCGCAGGATAATGTGCCTTCCGCCGACGAGGTGATCCGCCAGGTCGGCGGAGTGGTGGACTTGCCGCAACTGAACAATCTGGACACATCAGCACTGCCCAACGCGGAAGAGACGAGAAATCTTTTCAAGGAGAAGTGTGCGAAAAACGGCGGACCAGACGCATTCGACAAGGCGGACCAAGCCAAGACGGAGATGGAACAGTGCCTTAAGTCGCTCATCAACATCACGGAACTCCAAGCGGAGATGGAGCTGCACAAGCCGAACGGCGACTTGGACGTCGTGTTCAAGAAGTACTGCAACAAGCGCTCGATTCTGCGTGCCTGCGTCAGCAATTTCACCGGAGTGGTGGAGCAGTGCCTGGACGAGAAGGAGAGAGAGAATAAGAAAATCGTCATGAACATCACCGACTCGATGTTGGAGTTCATTTGCTACAAGGAAGGAGATCGCATCGCTCGTATGTAAATTGATCGTCTTAGGATGACTGTCGCCAAACTCCGATTAAGCTGATCGATGACTTAATGTTAGAAACATTGATTGTGCATCTAACATTTGATACAATATGATCGACTCTTACTTGCTTTGTCCTGCTAACACAGATAGAGATGATTAACTTTTCGATCACTGTTGAATGAGATTATTGTCGACAGGTTACAGAACTGGGAATTTGGTGTTGAAAGTTCTTTATTATTCGTCGATTATCTTAATCAAAGTTTGATGAGAGTTACCTTCAGAAATTTTCCCGAGAGGCTCGTGAGAAATCTCTCGGAGAGTCTTTCCGTGTCTCGCAGTATCGTTACAGTGACTGAAATCGCGTTACTTTTGCAGTCTTCATAGCCGCCGGAGGACCGGAATGCTTCCAAGCCAAACAGCAAGCGGTCCAGGACTGCGCCAATAGAACGTTGAGTGGCTATATACCGAAAACTGACCCCTCCAACATATTAGGACTCGAGAGTCTGCCGAGCTTGGCCTTCGGAAACAAAGAATGCACGTAAGTTGCATTTTAGTAATTACGCAGTAAGCCTTACGTTATCGCGGCGAGATAAGACGGACCACCATTGAGAAAACTGCGACAAAACGCAAGGAAACTTTGCGTTTGCCAGTTTGCGAGTTTGACCACCGAATGAAGACTCGTATCTGCTTCCGTACAGGGACATGAACAACCTCCAGGCTTGCATGGTGAAGGAACTGGAGACATGCCCGGATCCAACGCCCGCGAACATCGTGGATTCTATATTCAATTTCATCAAGAGGGTGACGCCGTGCGAGAATTTGCTGAACGCTCAGAGCGCCGCTGCCACCGGCAGCGGGGGATCCGGCGCTCCACGTTTGTCGAGCGCTTTCACCGCTGCGCTGGTACTTTTGTCTACTATAGCGAGCTGCAGCAGACAGAATTACTTCTTCGGTGCGATAGCGTAAGACATTAAATACACATCAGAATATAAGCGTGATAAACCGTTAATCGGAACACGCGGCCCAGATCGGGATTGTATTAAGATTATAAATCGACGATTGACACTCGACCGATTAAGGTCCGAGATGGAGATCGCAGATTGGAATCTTTAATTAAGATATCAGCCGATTGTCAGTCGCACGGCAAAAAACACACGATAGATTTTTTTTTTTTTGGTTCTTAACACTCACAGTTGTTATTTGCGATATTTCTTTGAAACACAAGACACCGTAAGATATTCTACGACAATTGCACACCTTCGTCCTCATCATCAGTCTCTTCTTCGACAACAATTGCCAATCTCAGTGCAGATTGCATTGTGCGTTGTGCGATCGTCAATTTGCAATTCTAACACAATCTCGATCGTTACAGTCATTTTCGAGAGATGACTTTAGAGTATATGGCAATGGATCAAAAGTTTTTAATTAACAATTCGTATAAGCGAGAACAAAGATTGCTGTACTTTTAATATAATAATTGTTTATTTTTTTTACCGTATGTTTTTTATATGAAAATGTTTTCCTCTATACAAAAGTTTATGATTTGAAAAGTTTTTCTTCGCGAATTTATTTTATTAGGTGAAGTAAAAAGTTCTGAGCGTTTTTTCGCTTTATTTCGACGATGAAATTAACATAGTTAGGATTATCCGATTTCGATCAAATATGCACCGTTTTGTTCGATAACTTTTGTCCATTTTGAAGGCAATTTTATAATTCCGCGATTGAAGAAGTCCTCGTCCCTATTGGTAAAAAACTTGACCAGCTCATTTTCACAAGCCTCTCTTGAGGCCAGTTTTGTACCATCAGGAAAATTTTGCAAATGCTTGAAAAAGTGATAATCGCTTGGTGCCAAATCTGGACTATACGGTGGGTGCAATAGAACCTCCCATCCAAGCTCTCGGAGCTTCTGGCGCGTCGTTAATGATGTGTGCAGCCTGGCGTTGTCTTGATGGAACACAACACTCTTCCTATTGGCCAATTCTGGCCGCTTCTGGTCGATCGTCTGCTTCAATCTGGTCAGTTGTTGACAATAGAGGTCCGAATTGAGTGTTTGGCCCGATGGGAGCAGCTCATATTGGATGATTCCTTTCCAATCCCACCAAACACACAGCAAACCCTTCTTGGCCGTCAATCCGGGCTTGGCGATCGTTTGGGCCGGCTCACCGCGATTGGACCACGATCTTTTTCGGCTGTTGTTCTCGTATGTGACCCATTTTTCATCACCAGTTACCATCCGCTTCAAAAATGGGTCGATTTCGTTACGTTTCAGCAAAGAATCGCAGGTATCAATTCGGTCCAAAAGGTTCTTTTGCGTCAATTCGTGTGGCACCCATACATCGAGCTTCTTCTTAAGACCAGCCTTATGCAAATGGTTCCAAACGGTTTTCTGGCTAATCTTCAGTTCCTGGGCAATGGAATAAGTGCTCACATGCCGGTCCGACTCGGCAATTTCCATAATTTTATCGACATTTTCGACGATTGGCCTACCAGAGCGTGCTTGATCTTCGACGTCCATATTACCAGAACGGAATCGTTGGAACCACCGCTTTGATGTTGCATTCGATACTGTATTGGATTCATAAACAGCACACATTTTTTTGGCCGCCTGCTCCGCCTTTTCACCTTGGTCGTAGTGGTACTGAAGAATGTATCGAATTTTCTCTTTTTTTACCTCCATTTTGGAACGCTGTAACACACAACTGCCTTGACCAAACACAAAACTGTCACAGAACTTTTTTTGAAGCGTAATGTCACCTTTAAATCGACGTATAGTATGACCCGATGCGATGTATACATCGTGAGATATGGCTCACTAAAGACATCTAGCGGAAAACGCTCAGAACTTTGTATTTCACCTAATATTTACCGTGAGAGTAGTATGTAAGCATTAGTTAAGACGATTAAATTAATATGCATATTCAAATTATAGCAAAGTTTACTCTATCGTTTATAAGAGGAATTGGAATGTTTAAGATTCTAGAAGGACGTCGATTTTATTTTTCAATAAACGATACCATTTTATTGTTTAGAAATATATATATATATTTCTTTATTATATGATATATATTATACTATAGAAATATATTATGTATTCATAAATATATATTTTTCCTCTATATTAATGTTACATTAAGAATTATGTTAACGTTAGATTAAGAAAAGCGCCGCTTTTCCTTTGCATATTCTGCTATATTTTGAATATGTATATATGTGTTCTGTGAGAATACTTAATTCTATTTATATGATTATATATATATCTCTTTCTTATTCTTTTGCCACATTGCGCAATCCTTGGCGATTCACTCATCAAAATTGTACGATTGTTACATCAAATGAAGAGAATCCATTTATAATCACTATCATGTTTAACAGTACATAGTACATTTTTTGTATATTTTGTACGTGCTTAAGGATAGATCTTATGTAAGTAACCACACTCTACGAATAAAGTGTCTTCATTGAGAATTAAAATATTACCAATAATAACAAATATTAATAATAAGAATAATAATAAATATTATATATATATATATATATATGTGTGTGTGTGTATGTATATATATATATATATATATATATATATATATATACAAACGATTTGGACAAATTTGTGAGCTTCTTCGTGGAGAGAAGATAATGCACAACTGTACATTCTACCAATACTAGCAAACTATGATGTTAGTTCTTAAAGTGCTTTTTACGATGCTACTTTATACGATGACAGGTTACGGCAGTATTTTGAGGCGTAGATTAGAATTAACAAATTTGCGCATGGTTCGTACACTTACGTGCGCACGAACGTACGAATGTTCGTTTCGTCAATATGTACACACAAATGTAACGTAAAAGTTACCATTTAGGCGAATGTATCTTAACCCATAGTTTAAGTACCAAAGCCCGTTTGTAAGGACATATCGTTTATGCAGTGTGGTTTGAATAAACTTAGTATTTTATTTACAATTCAATCTTATCGCATCGCCAGTCGATGATGATGATGATGATTTCCCAGCTTCAGGTATTTTTCCTGTGCGAGAATCCATCAAGGAAGCGGGCGAGCTAATTCGACGTGAAATTCCGCGAGGTAGCCGTCAAATTTCAAATATCTAAAGCGCTCTGAAACCGTTTTCTATAGCTGCACCACGTTGCACCGCCACCACTTAAAGTGTAGTAGGCGCCCATACGACACCTGGTGGGACAGGGAGGAAATTAAAACAAGTGCAATATAGATCAAAAAGTGCAATTGCAAAGAACAGGAGAGCGATCGCGAATCTTCTCCTTGAGCGCGAACTCGCGAAAAGTGGGCACTTCCGGACGCTTCGAGCTGGAAAACCTTCACCTTTTCCGAATTCGCGTTAGATGAGGAGACTCACGATCGACCCTCCGCATCGGCTACCTGCACTTCGTGGCCGTTGCACGCGCACGCGCACCGTTCAAATCCCCCTGGCGATTCTGCGCGCTCGATCGCGTTCGGGTGTGCTCGGCACGGATCGGCTACGTTCGCCGAAGGAGCTGGTGAGGAGAAGAAGAGAGAGAGAGCCAACGGCAGTGCACTTTGAGAAAGCCCGTTGTAGGCTGTCTCGACGTGTATGTTCTGAACGCTCCGCAACATGTTAGTGAGTTTTCGTCGGCTCTCAACGAAAAATTCACGTGGTGTATTCAGTATACGAAGGAAAACCACTAGTGCGAGACATTTACCCTCTTGATCGAGTCTTTCACCTAGTACTAATTGTGCAATAAGCAAGCTGAGGAACGATGCCAGGCAAAGGGGGCAGAAGAGGAAAGTACGGTGAGTAGTGCTTGGTCGCGCGCGCTCACGAGAGATCTTCCGTTGCGTTACTTCCCTTTCGCCGCACGACGACGTCTTCCTCGTCGGCCGTGAAGATCCCCGCGAAGGACAAACACGTGACGCACGCTCGCTCGCCTCTTTCCTCGACTCTTGGCTTATTAAATTATCGATCGGCGCCGTATTTGTCCGTCTATCCGCGTCTAATCCGCTCCAGTGATTCACCGCGCCTCGGAATGAGGCTCTTGTTTATTTGCACGACTTGCGTCACGTTGCGCCAAAGCGCTCTTTCTTTCCTCTCTCTCTCTCTCTCTCTCTCTCTCTCTTTCTCTCTTTCTCTCTCGCCCTCGCGCGTTCCTCTCGAAAGAGAGGCTCGCTCCTTCGCACGCGGGCGATTTTCCACGTTCCGCGACGTGGTTCCCCGTGCGATTCTCACGCCTTCCGCGGCGGCACATGTTGATTTCATCGCACGTCGAAACTCTGCACTCTGGATTTTCCCTCCGGAGGAAACGGGCTCGCGAAGATTCGAGAGACGCGAACGGAAATTCGGCGAAACGCCGCAAAGGCATGTGCCGAGGACACGTGCGATCCTCTTCCCGTGAGAGGTTATGGGAAGCGCCATGAGGCAGCCCGAGGCCCCGCGGAAATGTTCATTTCACCCTGACGACGCGCGATTCTCGCCGTTCTCTTATGAAACCCGTCCTTTTCTGCACCTCTGCAATATCCCCTCCCTCTCTCTCGTCGAATTTGCAAGTATGTATATTTATCTCGCTTCTTTCGAGCACGGAAAGTGACACAATGCGGCCGAAAAGAAACGGAATCGGACTGCTGGTGACTCATTCGACATCTTTTCTTCGATCGCGATCAAGTCAGACGCGCGTGAGATTTTACGCAATCGGCAGCAATCGACAGCAATGAGCTGCCATATCCTCTATCTCTCTCTCCCTCTATCTCTTGCTCGCGCACACACGCACGTACATTTTTTTTTTGGATTTATTGATACGTTGTCGCTCTCCGCTGCTCTCTCCTTTCTCGGTATTAGTTCTTCTCGTTCTCGCCTATCGGTCAGATAAATATTTCAAGTACGGTAACAAAGTCCCTCCCTTCCCCTCCTCGATCGCGAGACCTTCAGTCTTTTGCGTTCTTTCGCGTGCTCCTCTCGCCGGATAAGTCGCGCATCTTCATTACTCGAGTTACTGCGCATCTGTTATGATGAATCGATGTTTTTCTGCGTTTTGCAACTTTTGCCCGATAATTCGGCGGCAACGATGGTCGGCGCTTATTTTCTCCACGTTTTGCCTTTTCCTTTCTGCAAACGTCGAAATTGCGCTAATCTCTCCGAAGACAGCCAAAATATAGCCTTGAGAGTTAAATATATCGCGATTTTATCACGATTGGGCATGTGCCGTTTCTTTTTTTCTTTACTTTGTCGTTTCTACCCGACTTATCTCTCTCTCTCTCTCTCTCTCTCGCTCGCTCGCTCGCTCGCTCGTGTTGAAAATTTCAAAGTCGAAAAAGACTTCGGCCGCGCGTGAAATTAACATAATTTATGATATTCGTTACAATTTCTTGCGATCCGCACGGCGACTACGAACGCACGAATGTGGCGGTCCGGCAATCCGAACTGGTATAACAGCTGTGTAGATTTCACGTTGCGTAACATGACATTCACTTTCAGCTGTTATTTTTCTCAGAACTCGAATTACTCGCCGCTATCGGTTTCTGACCAACATCCCGCGGGCTTTCAATAATTAGCGTTCGATTACTGTATCGGCGGAGAGAGGGAGAGAGAGAGAGAGAGAGAGAGAGAATCACCGAGTTGTTCCTCGGCGAGTCCTCGCTCTTTCCACGCCGGTCTCTCGATCGATTCGACATTAATAGTCGCGGAGTATGAAAATATTTGTCGACGATCGCCACCGTGCATATCGGGGAAAGACGGTGCAGATACACGTGAAACATACGCGTGACTTGGCGACTCCACGCGTGGCAGCGGCAACGTGGCCGCCGAGAGCACACGAGCGAATCGTTTCGCGTTGTTAACTAGCTACCGCTCTAATTGGCTTTCATTAATCGCAATTAGCACGTATCACGTTGAGCAGCTACTGGCTCGACAATACTGTAGCCGCGAGGCGAATACGCAGGTTGGAGATTATCTCGCGCGCTTATCACGCGGCTTACACTTCGGCCGAATAGGCGAGCGTATGATCGGTCAGAAAAAGATTGCGACACTTATTATTTTTTTATAATACTTCGAAAATCATCCCGAAGTCCCGTGGAAGTCCAATGGAAGAATTCGTTTTTCAATGATTCTCGGGCGAGCTGATTTTCTTATTAAGATACGAGTTGCGTCGACGAAACTCGTCGCAGAAAACATGTAAAATTCACATACATTCAGCTTCAGCGAGAAGTGTCGCAATCCTTTTTGTAAACTGTGATCATACTACGCGAATATAAGGCGGGGGGCCGATATATGTTGACTCTTCCCTCAACAATCTTGCGCTTGGTCCTCCCCGACGAACGTAGGTCACGGTGGAAAAAGAGCTGAGTTAACATCCGACGAGGACTCCGTCTACAATGACGCGTGCAGCGATACCAGCGGCCAATCCGACAGTCGCAGCGTGCTGGAGGATGTGAACGACAACGAGGTGGACGAGCTCGCGCAGCAGGAGGCGTTCGAGGAGAAGCTGAGGGAGGCGATCGACGGGCTGACCCAAAAGAGCGCCAAGGGCAGGACGATCTGTTTCAACGGGATCGAGAAGATCTTCGCCATCAAGTACATCCCCGACTTCGTGGAGGACAGGAAGATGACCATCGCGGACGCGGTGGAGCGCAGCCTGAAGAAGGGCCGCGGTGACGAACAGCCCACTGCCGCCAGGCTGAGCACCCTGCTATGTGTTCAGCTGGGCGCGTTCGAGAGTGCCGAGGTGGTCTGCAGAGACCTCAAGTCGACCTTGACCTTCATCGCCAGCGACAATACAGCTTCCGTTCATGCTCGCGCCGAGGTAGCGTATCTTAGAAGAGAGAGAGAGAGAGAGAGAGAGGGCCGAGCAGAGAGGATCGATATTAATTTCTCAGGATGCATATACAGCAATGAGGAAACGATGTCGGTGGAAGAAAGGTCGCGACGCTTTTATCTCGATGAGCTCCCTCACGAGAACGCACATCCGGCACTCAACAGGCAAATTTATCTCCTGAGAATCGCCAAGGAATGAATTGCTCTAACGGGGACACGTGGGTGCGAAACTCGTTCAGGACGAGGAACGTCGCGGCCTTTCTTTCATCGACTGCACCCGGTGTTCGTAAAATCTATCTTCTGTTTCTGAACTAGGGCTGCGTTAAAACTTCGTTCCTTTTCCCTTTAGCACCATGTTATATATACTCGTCTCATTCTAACGGTAAAATGTGCAGCCTAGTTCAGAACAGAAACAGACTTACAGTCGGATCTTGTACTCGGCCCTAGTTTAGTACCATCGGTTAAATCGATCCAGGCGAAAGATTAATCGCAGTTGAATCTTGAATGATCGCACATATAAACGTGAAATTCTTTTCTCGAGAAATGTTAATTCTTCTGTGTGGAACTAACACTATCTCTTCTCTTATCTCTTTATCTCTCTCTTTCTGTCTTTTAAATTGTTCATTTTAAAAATGATTTCGACATTTTTTTTTTAATTTACCTCTTCTACATTCTATTAAAATCGTCTCAAGTTCATCTTCAGATGATCGTTTCGACGTAGCCGATGAAACGATTCATACAGTACCTGAAGATGAACTCGAGATGATCTTAAGTATGTCTGACTATGAATACACTTATGTACACTTCGATACTGATGTCTCGCATATCTTTCACTCCTCGACGATTCTTTATTGTCTGACGTCGGCGAAATGATTCCAGTGCTGCTGGGCGCTGAGTATGAACCAGTTCCTGTCGGGCAACGACGCGGACGACACCGTCGAAATAATGCAGCTGCTGTCGTCTATCTTCTCCGGCTCCTACCTGAAAGGAAACGGCGCGATCGCGAACATATCCGCCGACACGGCGGCGCTGCATGCAGCGGCTATCTCCTCGTGGACTCTGCTTCTCACAGTCATGACTTCCGCGAACATCTACAATTTGCTCGCGAGCGACAAGACCAACAGCTACATGCCGTGAGTGATCGACTCCGGCGATCGAATTATTAGCCATTCGTCGCCACCTCACCTACATAACGCGTCTTCCTCCGCAGTTCTCTCAATCGATTGCGCGAATTGTTGGAATCGCCGCACCTCGACGTGCGCCTGTCGGCCGGTGAGGCGTTGGCCGTGATATTCGAGCTCGGCCGTGACTTCTCCTGCGACTACGAGCAGGACTGGGCGCTGGATCTCGCTGACATTCTCAAGGAACTCGCCACGGACTCTAACAAGTACAGAGCCAAGAAGGATCGCAAGCAGCAACGCGCCAATTTCCGAGACATTCTGCGTTACATCGAGGCAAGTGTGTCGCGCAACCGCCTTCGCGGCTCTGGCCGCCGCGAATGCCCGCGTTCTTCCGGGAAACCGGAAGAGAGGCACGCTCTCACACGATCTCCTCTCCTTTCGCTCTTCCAGGAGGACATTGTTCCGGAGATGCATGTGAGATTCGGCCAGGAGACCCTGTACTTAGAGGGGTGGTGCGCGCGGACACAGTACAACGCCTGCTGCCGGCTGTTGGGTCCCGGCATCAACATCCACCTAGCCGAGAACCAACTGCTGCGCGAGATCTTTCACCTCGGCAACAAGGTTCTACCTATACCGTCGTCCCAGAAAACGAGCAAATTAGAGAGGGTAGGTATAGAGACACACTCACGGAGGCGACTGATTCCCCTTTCCTCGAGATCGGAGCGAGATTAACCGAAACCCGCGTTCTCTTGCAGACGCTGATGAACGCGGCCGCGTTCAAGGCGCGCACGATCCAGCGCAACAAGAACCGCGATAAACGTTCCGCAGCCATGGCACCGTAATCGCTTCTCACTTCTGCTCCCCCCCCCCCCCCNTGGCTGCCTGATGATTGTCCCTCTTTTAGCATAATACAGATATAATTCAATTTGTTATTTATTGTGAAATTCGATAGCGAATTACAGTTTTCCTCGTCGAATATCGTCGTCGGGTCGAAATTGCACACGGATCTTGTACACATAGATTCCCCGTTCGCGGGGAACTTCATGTGGACGCGGTCGAAACGCGGTCAGTTTGCCCGCGTTTCAGCAGGTACAGCTAATTTATACAATGATATTAAGTGAAATTCAGCGTGTATATATATACACATATACAGTATGTATTACAGGGTCTGTTTGACAAGTTCTAAGACTGATTTTTTCCTGAACAAACAAGTAACAATATTCCTTCGATGCTTTTCAGCGCGGAATTTTTTTTTCTTTTAAAGTACTAACGCTCGACTACTCACAAGATTTGTCTCACGTCACCGGCAGTACGTTCCGAGTGGTGGCCGCGCATTTTTTTTTTTTCTCGTAAGATTATCGTGTTCGTTATAATTGTCATGATGGAGCAGCGCGCTGCTCTCAAATTTTGTAAAATTCAAAAAGCGACAGTGTATAATTTAACGAAACAGGCGTGCGAGATGAAAAGTGCCTGGTCACATTCACGTGTGTTCGAATGGTATAAATGTTTCCGTGAAGGAATCGTTAGAAGACGACCCAAGACCTCGGGTCGTTACTCCACAAGCATCACCGACGTGAACGGCGTGATTCATCATGAATTTGTTTTTCTCAGCATCACAATCACTGTCTAGTACTACCTGGAGGTGCTCGATCGTCATTTGGTACAAAAATGCATTTGTCCACGGCGTTACGCCGAACGGGATTTTTCCTGCTGCACCCCACGGCAATCGCAGCTCGGTTTTCGGTCCGTAAATATGTGCCAATGCGTTCAACAATCTCTGTAACTCGCTAGATTTGGCTGCGGCACTTTTTTTATTTCCAAAATTAAACATTCAAATGAAAGGAGAGCGGTTATTTGTCGATATCCTGAATATTCGGGCGAACGTGACAAAGAAATTGAAAACTATCCCGAAAGAAATCTACTGTAGGAACTTCCGGTGTAGAAGTAACAGTTGAAAGAACGTTCGCAACATAGCGTTGACACTAGGGGGGGGGGGTATGTTGGAAACATTGTAATTAATAAAATTTATATATATAGATATATTTCGATTTCACGATTTTTAATGAAGTCAGTCTCGGAACTTTTTCGATAGACCGTGTATATATACACATGTTAATATGTGCGAAAGTTAAATACGTGTACATACGACAGTAATACCGGTACGATAACAACGATTACACGTGCGCGTTCACTGTAGTTAAATTACTTGGATTTTATGGAGCGTTTTACCGAATTCTTATACCGATCAATGTGATACTGTTTTATTGTTACTTTTGATTATCATTGTTGTCTCATGGATGTATGTTGTATCTGTTGATTTTGATAATCAAATTGTATAATATTTTAACGGCTACGGGTGGAAATTGTCTCGTTTTTTGGGAATGACGTTAAATAACACACGGAAAAGATTGCTACACACACCTCTTCATTGGTCGGGATTATTTTGCATATTAACAGTGACTATGCATATGTAATTAAGGTGTACGAGATATTTACTAGCATTGTACATAATTACACGTAAGCTATGATGACGTACGTTCGAATAAACGAGAATACAGATAGAAATGTGAGCGTGAGATGATTTTGTTCACCTACTTTTATTGTCGTTACGCTTATTCAAACAAGCTCATCCGCAGAGGGGAACAGTCCAAACGCGTATGTCTGGTTATTGAATGCGCCGTTAAATATATATCGATCACAGTCACTTCCGTCGTAAAATATTGCAATATCGTAGAGCGAAAATAACGCTGCGAATACATATATTTTCTGTCCGTCTCTTCGTTATAATAATCTCCGCAGTAACAACATCTTTACAATAACAATCTACAGATATACACAGCCTTTCCGCAAGAAAGTGCACAGCTTTGATTCAAGACTGTTGACTGTAGCGTCAACTGCTGTATGACATTGAAAAGATCAAAGCGTTTGCCCGCTTGCACAGTATATACTTTGTTGTTATTTTGAACGTTGTCCTTTGTTAGAGTGAAAATTTTCACGAGTGCAAAGTATCTCAAGCATTACAAGACAGTGGTTTTAGTTTTTTTTTATACAACCAAAATTAACGTATGCTCAAGCTTCAAGGTGACTTGGGAAGTCCAATTCATTCAGAGGTGAGTGGAACAGTACGAAGAACTAAAGTGAATGTTGATGACCTGCTCGAAAAGGGTTTGATCTGTACGACGACGTCGAAAGAGGACAAAACGATCATTCGACTATTTGAATGAAACTCTGTGCTAACATTGCGCCCAAACTCGGGACTGGCTTCCTGAAAAAGGCATAAACATTAATACAAACACCATCAGACCAGAAATGTTTTCTTAACGTCTGCTGAGAAATTTCCTGGGAGAAATAGAGACGATTGGGAGTTTCAGGAAAGCAACGACCACCACCGACGTTGCCTTTGCATGAAAACTGAAAATAGCATCATCACAGTGGGTTGGCCTTGCCTACGTCATCCCTAAACGCGAATCCAACTGAGAATATATAATCTTACATAAAGTACAGAAACTAAGAGGGGAAAAAGGTCTTTATTCTCAAGCAGCTATCGACTAGAATCAGGAAGTTCTTTACCACTTGAATATGCTGAAATACTAGTCGAAGGCATGCCAAGAAGATGCCAAGTAATAATTGCCAATGAATGCGATTGGATTTATTACCAAGTAACTGTGCAATATCTTTTTCAGTCTACTTCGATGTACTACAGTCCTTTTTATCTAGATTGTATATATTCTCGACATGTTGCTGTCGTATACTTTCTTGCGGAAAAGATCGTACATATAAAGCGTACCGTAGAAATAAAATTAAACGTTAACACTAAATAATAATATCATAAGCGTGTTCAGTCATGGTGGGCAACGATCTACAGCCTTGTCTCTCCTTGAGAGACGTATTAGTATAAAAAGAATCTTTTTTCTTCTTCAACGCGGCTAAGTTCTCTTTGCTGCGCTCTACGCGGAGAAGCGAGCGTCTCGGCGACGCTATATGTGCATATTGATTGTTTGTTCCTTAAACTCTCTCTCGGACAGCATGTGCCATCGGTAGCGCAGTATCTTCGACACTTCCCTCTCCGTACTCTCGTAGCTACGACTATTTACCTTGATCCATTCGTGGTGCTCGGGCGACCAGTCGAGAATCCTCGACCAGTCTCGGTCGCATCTCTTCAGCACGACGTTGCGCCGCACGTATAAGCAACGCAGGCGTTTCGCGGTGGACGCGATCTCCAGAATCGTCGCTGTGGATATCTTGTCGCGAATCATCTGTGAGGGAAATGTATCGGCGTGAATTGACGTGAGAACGTGTGTGTAAACGATAGACGGAGCAACAGCGCGAGATACTCGACTCGAGAGTTAACGACTGTTATATATAATCGAGCGTTTAGCGCCAGATCGAGTCCACGATATGCAAAATCGATTTTTTGAACACGGAATTAAGACGCCTAAGATGAATCTTAGGGCTCTTCTACAATAGCTGTAAGTCCGTAAGATGCGGTCCCGTAAGGTGGTAAGGGACCGCTTTCGGTGTAGTGAGCCGTAACATAAAGACCGTTTTACGATATCCGTAAGAAAATAGCGGTGAAATGAACGATGTAAATGTAGATGAACTATGAGATGAATTATTTTAATTTCGCTTACGATCTCACTTTACCGCCTATTATATTGAAACAGGCACTTCCAACCACGCGTCTTGTGGACTCACAGCCGTACTTACGTGGACATTGCAAAATGGACCTGAGATCGTAAACGAAATGAATTGTTTTCATTTTTCACTTCTTACGGCCTTACGTCGATCGATCGAAGTAGCACATTAAAGCCCTGATCTCCTCCTTGCTGATTGGTCCGTCTTATGTTTTGCCGTTTAAGCTATTGTAGGTAGCGCCTTTTTGAGACCATCAAACGTTATAACTTTCAGCTAAATGCTACGGGCTCACAAACCTATTGTTATGACCATTGTAGAATAGCTTTTAAGAATCTGAGCATCTGATCTATCCTAACAACGAACATTTCGAGCTTGGCGCACGTTTATCTGTTATTCGATTAGATACACGAGGAAGCAGAGGCCTCGCCGCGGATAGTCCGCGTGACAACAAGTTCCGAAGCGAGTCTGAGACAGTAGCCGGAAGGAAATTTACACTCACATAGCGGAGGAAGCCCTTCACAGTGTGTGACGGGTGCGAACGCATACCAGCATGCCATGAAAGACGCTGTTAACACCACGCGTAGCGTTTTAGAAAGAGTAAGTTCACATAGGCGAGACAGAGAGAGGGTTGATTCAAATGCAAAATGCTACCAGGGTGTGCAGGTACGGGCACATTTTACAGAACTGCACCAGCGCCTCGTCCAACCTCGCCGCGAAGCTCCTGTCCATGTAGTACCTAGCTATCCCCTTGAAGGCGTACACTCGTATCGTCGAGTCGAAGAACGCCCCGTGGGTGAGTATCGTGGACGGCGAGATCTGTAAGGATATAATCGTAGGGCATAATCGTAGAAATGACGATTCGTGTTGTCGACGACATTGACGGATTTAACCAGTTAACTGTGGCGATCTCTTTGCAAAGCGCCCACCAGTGTGTGTCGCCGCACTGCTTACGAGTTAGCTCTCAGGAAGTTATAAATCCATCTCAAATTATTTATAATTCTCATTTGTTTGTTTCATTTCGTCTTGACCTCTAAACATTTTACCCATATTAAAATTTACGAATATAATTTAGCTTTCGCCAGAATTACAATTAAATATCAAATTGTAACCAAATTTTACGCATGACGGATATAGTCGTCATGACACAAGGTTCTGCCACATCTCCATGACGGATATAGTCGTCAAACACACTTAACTGGTTAACAATTGATCGCTCCTCTCTGCGAGTTCGCGTTATCGTCACTTCCGCCGACGAACGAACCTGCGTGTTCGGATTGTCCAAGACTATACTGTGGCAAGGTATGGAACTGTGTTCCAGCAGGTCGATGGGCAAAAGAATGTCCGTCGGCTTGTGGCTCTCCACCTCGAAATGCACCTTCAGGTGCGGATTGTGCGCCCTCATCTTCATCCACGAGACTCTCTTTGGCTGCGATCATAGTCAGAACGAATATTTTCCATCTATCAGCGAATTCGACCGCCGGATCAGTACGCCAAAGATCGCTACGTGTAAATTACCCGAATACAACGGCATAACGTAAGCACTTTGACGATGAAACAATGCATATTCCGCTAAACAACGTGACGATATCATTACTAGGTGTTCGGTCGTTTTTCGAAACGATTGTTTCGCGCATAGCCGGCCTTCAGCGCACATCGATCCGCTGATCGAATTTTCTCTGTGTTAACGCGCGATTGCTCCGCACTTGGCGTGCTGCGATTATGCATCAACACGGAGCCGGCGAAAGGAACGAATGGCAATTACCAATCTTACGGTGGTATCCTTCGGGCTGTATCGGTTTTGCAAAATATGCAGATGCTCCAATCTCGTATAGCCTATCAGCTCTATTATGTCCTCGTGCAGATTCTGCGGACTTACGACTAAGACCTGAGAAGAGAGACATTGTATACACACTGTACACAGTTTAATTCAATAACGAGCGACGTGCGAAACGTCCGGGGTATGCCGTGTGCTTACGTTTAAATTGATAAATACTCCCACGTGCAGCAATGGGCAAACGTAACGCGTGGTGTTGATCAGCACCAGTTTCGACAGGGTCTGAGTGCAATTGGTACAAATGTCGTCCATCAAGTGTAAGGCTTCTTTGCTGTCGAGCATCAGGTCGATCAGCTCCAAACATCTGAGATTCTGCAAATTTCTCATGAGCCTCTTGAGCGCTTCGAGTAGCTTGCCGCCTGTGCCAAAGAGTCTGATTCGATCAGGGTCATCCCTATTCGCCATGTTACAGGGAAAGGTAAACTTAAGCCTTCGTATGTAAGTACCCACACCGGCCACGGAGGTGTTGTCCGAGCCCTGTTGCTCGGCATACCACGAAATCATGTTCATGAACTCGTAGAGATTGTAGAAGTTCAACATGGGCTCGAATATGAGCGAACGGAAGTTCCTTCCGACTTTGTTCAGGCAGGTGGACGTTCTCATGTGGTCCAGCACATATTGCCAGCCGCTGTAGTAGTTGAACTTGCCCCTTGTGAGGGTGGTGTCCTCCAGAGTAAACGTGGACCATACATTTCGCAGTTTAAAGGCGCGATACCACGAGCGACACACCAGGGATGCGTAGTAACGCTCGCGGATAGTCAGGTATGAGAATATCTCCTCCAAAAGTATGTCAGGTGTCTGATCCCAGGAGCTGTACGTCTTATCCTCATCCGTTTCCTCTGGCTCCAGGTCTATGTACAAGGCTGCGCAGAGAAGGGACGGTCTAATTAATCTAATTAGTAAAATTGCGAGCCCAATCGTCCTATCTACTTAACAGCACCGCACGTGTATTTCCTCTCCTCGTATCAGCGTTACCTATTTTTACGTTTACCTTGAAATGCAAATTATTTTTAGACGATATTAATGTCAATTCTGATTATAGATTAATCCTCACGGGTTCTCGCCGATTGCACGCGCACGGGCAATTATCTCACATTATTTCCCATATCAAGCGGCGAATAAAAGAGAGAAAAAAGAAGTGGGGAGGGGGGGGGGGAAGCCNCAAGTCGAGCGGAGTAGTATCGAGAGTAAAAATTGTCCCACTATGTATGAAGAAAGTCTTTCCTGATTCGGTCATTCGATTCGCACTCTTGTCAACGAAGACGCAGAATCGACGCGTAATTCTGCGTCTTCGGGGAACGAATCTGCGTACAATTTGGAGGGAGTGTCGGCTTTCTCGCGAAAACGCACAGTTCCTCCCGGGCGTAATATCGATCTCGCGGTAAATCCCGCGATAGATCTTCGCGAATCTCCCGAAGGAGAGAGAGAGAGAGAGAGAGAGAAAACGTGTCGCACGCTCACCTTTGTCCTCCTCGTCGAACTTCCAGCAGCCCTTGTTCATTTTCGTCGCGATCGTTGATCATCGGCGTTACATTAAAATAACGTATCTCTGCGATGGAGTATTTATACGCGATATTGCTAAAAATATACCGAAAAAACGGGAAGGGGCGACCGCCGCGGGTGACCGCGTGTCGCCATGATGCGCCTTTAAATCGACGGCGACGGATGGCTCGTCGCGTTTTTGTTCGTACACGTCCGACAAGTTCGCGCGGGTACCTTGCGCGGGGAACGGGGCATCTCCGCGCGCGTTTCTCTCGCGTGTCGACGGTTGTCCTTCGGTTTTTTGTTTTCCGCGTATCACCTCGTGGACTCATTAAAAGTGACTTCGCGGAGGAATTTCGAAAGAATGCAACATGCGCCTCGCCGGCCAATCGGAAAGTCAGACGGATAGACGGAGAGAGCGAGAGGGAAACTCCCGCACCACCGAGAGATCCTAACCTAAAACTGCGACGGCGTACGGCCGCGATACGACTCTAACCTCAATTCGTTTCCTAACCTCGGCTCGTTACCGCGAGCTTTGCGTGCTTTTTGCGTGGGAATCACACGCCTGCTCTGACCGAACACGATGAATCTCACCGGCAAATTGTGCCCGCTGATACAGGCGTTGCGTAGCTGCAGGTACGTGACGCTTCGCGATGAACGCGCGCTTAAAGCCGACATTTCACGGCCGATCATTGCACGGTGTTAAAAGTACGAAAATAAGACCGATTCACTGCTCGACATCGCGAGGGAAAGTAACAAACTTTTTGTCTGTGATATGTGTATTCTCAACGATCTCTCGTTTCCGCCCCATTTTCATTTCCAACAATTCTGTCGATACTGTACTCTCAAACGGGACCTCGCAATTTTTCGCAGGAACTTACACATCGCGTCTCTCGCGAGGAATGCGGCCGCATATGACGGGCCCGGTAAAACCACCGTCACGTTTATCAGCAAGGAAATTGGTCCTCGATTTCAGGTGTCTCAGTGCAATGAGGTGAGAGTTTGATGTGTGTTGTTATTATTCACTTAGAAGGATTCAAGTCCTTGGTTGCCGGTGAAAGCGTACAAAAGCGTACTTCTTTAACTAAATTCGTTAGCAAATTGTAAATTTCCTCTGATCGTTCTACTAGCTTTGACAGTATGCAAACTGGAAGCATAGACATGTCGGATGTAACATATAACAAACGTATTGAAATATATCGATAAGTGACATATATTAGGGCTTTTTTCCATCAGCTAGTTACAATAAGCGAGCAACTTTAAATGTTGACATTTGAAGTTGAAATGTTGTGACATTTGAAGTTGAAATGTTGACATTTGAAGTGAAATGTTGACATTTACAACTGAAATTTGACAGCATGTCAATCCGTTGTCCTGGATAATGACTGTCCTTGCTATTTTTAAGAATGGATTTGCCTTGAGCAACGGCTTCATGATAGTAGGGCCAACAGTGCTTTTTCCAAGTCAAGCTCTCTGCTGGAACATCTCGTCGGCAAAGTACATAAACGACGCAACTCTATCGCTGTTCACTGTCCTGGAGCCCAAGCCTGAGCTTCTGATCATCGGTCTGGACGACAATTATGACTTACCATATTTCAGAAGTTTACAAAAGTTAATGCGCAAGCACAACATAATTTCGGAAATATTACCTGTACGGAAGGCCTGTACGGTGTTTAACTTTGTGAACGATGAAGGTAGATACGTCATAGCTGCCTTGATACCGCCGAAGACGACCGAACACTTGACATTACCGAAGAAAATTGAAGAGACGGATTCAGACGAACTTAAAAATGGAAGAAAAAGAAATATTGTAGAGACAGATACAAAACAAGAATAATTGTACATATGTATGTGCGTTAAGTTTAGGAAAATTTATTGTATTGTACAATTGTATAATAAGTTATGACATTTGCATTACATATAAAACTGAAATAGAATTTAAATTTCGCTCCGATTTTGCTCTTCGTCTCTTCGTCTCGCTTCACCTTAATACTTGAACCGCCACGAGTCATCTCATTGGCTGCGTCTCGGGATGAGCAGTCAATGGAACGATTGTATCGACATGGTTCATGTAAATGGAAAGCATCTATTGCGAATAATTCAGCACAGAGGGCTCTCCCTCCGCTGCAGCTTGGAAGAGTGAGTTGGTGTTTGTGTGTGATAGCCCTTTAAATTCTTTTCTATTTTGTACAGCACGTATCTTTTAATTTGCACTCGTGAGTACATCTTCGCTATCTACCGCGAACTCTTATTCGTACAATCTACACTGTTGTTACATTTGGTGTAACCTAACGAGCTTTTGAATAATCAAACGCTTAATGGAATTGTAACCTAACCCACAAATGACGGATCGTATAGTTTCAACGATAAATTTGCAAGTCAAGTCACAGAGATCAGTCACTGTAAAAACGGGATACATGAGATATCTTTTTGCCAAGACAAAGTGAAAATTGCTTCACAGACCACTCATCTTCTTGGCCCCGTTAACAACAGTGAGATCTCATTTATTGTTAATTTTCACCTAAGGCAGTTTGCATTTTGCATCACAGATTACCAGCCATGAATAGCTCGACTGATCCGCGGCGGCCCGACAAAGAAGTCCGCTACAAGCCGCCAGGCTCGAATAATCAGGCTCAGATGCAGGACGACCTGACTCCGGACTACATGAATGTCATAGGGATGATCTTCAGCATGTGCGGCTTGATGATGAGGCTAAAGTGGTGCGCCTGGGTGGCGCTCTACTGCTCCTGCATCAGCTTCGCCAATTCGCGGGTCAGCGAGGACACCAAGCAAATTCTCAGCTGCTTCATGCTGTCAATATCAGCAGTGGTGATGTCTTACTTGCAAAATCCTCATCCTATGACGCCACCATGGGCAAGTGCCATGCAATGAACGAGTGTGACTCGTGGATGACTCACTTTGTTAATGTTTCTCCGTGTGTGTGAATGCAAGAAAACTTTGAACATTTGCGATACAGAGTGTACAATATATATATTTGGTTAAAAGATTATTATTATTATTTATCTTGTACAGAAAGATGTCTGATAATGAGTGAGGAGTCACTATTTCATTGCAGCAATACACCATCATTTGTTAAGAATGTTAAGTCCACTGTGTCGATAATTCTCGTTTCACAATCATCGAAGGAACATGCGGCGGGGAGGGGGGGACTGCTACATATATAATGTATCACCGAGGGTGATCTCCCATACTCATCGTTTATTTCTTATAAATAATTTATATTACATTAGAATCAACTCTTTCTACCTATTCCTGTAAGCTTCTCCTAAGAAGACTATAAATATTACAAGGAGTCAATAAATATTACATTTTTCCTAAGCGTACGTTATATACTGACTAGAGTTAAACGCCGCGTCTGCGTCGCGGTCTCGTCTCTACTTTTTACATAAATACAGCGAAACGTCGAAGAAACTCCTCAAGCGCGATTCTCCCGAGGAGTCGCGCGTTCGACGATCGCGTCAGATCTGACTATACAATCGCGAGACGTTTCGCGAGAGGTTCACCACTCGTGTGTTATATCCTTCCCCGTCGCTTACGCTTAAAGTAATCTCGATCGCGCATAGATCAATAGAAAAAGTATCGACGCTTAATTTATCGCTTAATACAATCGCTTCGTACGTTATTAGAGCGTGCCGTTCTAATGAACTAAGAATAGTATCAAACTCATATTGAAAGATCGAGAACGGAACGCGCGAGATTCATATCTTTGCTCGAAGCTGCGTTTAGAAATGTAGAAAAAAAAATCAAGTGGTCTCTCTTTACTGTGTGTCTAACAAATAATATCGACGCAGAGTAGGCCGCTGCTGCCGCGATGCGCGCACTAATCGTACTAAAAGACTCGCTAGGTGGAGAAACGTACTCCTTCCTCTCCGTTGCTTATCTTTACGACGGTAAGATAGCGATGCAGAATCGAACGTCCCGGGGGAGGAGTCGCAGGTGGTCCTGGGTCCTTACGTTCGATTCAATTTCACTCAATTTTGATGAGCAACTAATTCGCGTGCTAAGACCGGTGAATGACTGAACGAAGTACTGCACCTGCGTCTACGAGTCTGAAGGTCAAACAATTCAAGAACGAGCTATTCAAATATACAGAAGTACTCGGAGGCCGATCTGTCTTCACGCGGACACTCGTGTCGCTTAAGCAGGTCGGATAGGTCGACAGTCCTGAGAATAAGAAGAAGAGGAGGGAAGAGGAATATAAGAAGTAGAAGGAGAAGAATAGAATTTGGCACACGTATTCGGTCGGTTCGTTACTGCTAAATGTGCCTCGTGGTCCTCGATTGGATTTACTTCAGTCCGCTAAACTAAAGTCCGGTCAACATCTCTCCCGAAGAGCTGAAGAGAGCGTCGCACTGAGTCGCGCACAGAGAGCGAATATACCCGACTGATTTTCCTCGTTCGATCGCCGACGACAATTCTCCGTCTCGGACTAAACGCTGCTTTCGCCACGGCCCACCAGTGTGATAGGGTACACGTACTTCTTTCGCTTGGCGCTGAAGAACGGCGAGTTATGCTGGCCGGTGGTCGGCGTGGGCGACAGGCCCCGAAGAAGCGGTAACGAGGCGTCGCCGCCGCTCACGCCCGTGGCGTCGAAGCGCTTCTTCCATTCGGCGCCCAGATCCGTCGCCGGCGCCATGAGCCCTTTGCACTCCGGTGAGCTGCGCACGCTGAGGAAGACGTCGTTGCTGCTGTCGCGCTGGCCGGAGGAACCCTGAAGAACGCGAGATATGACGATATGATAGATTGCACACGGAGAAATCAAGATTGGTTGAATTAATGTGTCAATGAACGGAAGAGATGAGAGAACGCTGCCGGAGGCAATCTATAAGATGCCTCATCGTCGTCCCCGAAGCTCGTAACTCAGCTCAGAGAGAGGTGGGGATTTTGGTGCCGTGTTCGAATATAAATGGTCGCCCGGATGGAATTTCCGTAACACTCGGCCTTTATCTCAGAGTTCGGACTACCTGTCCTCTTTATCACGGTGAATAAGAGCGGGCTCGACGTGATAACGATGATGAAATCACGAATTCCAAAGCCGACACGAATCCCGAGTCGAAATTCTCGCGCCGCTTTGACGTTCTTGAGGACAGTTGGTGTTTACTTAAAATTCGACTGGCTTGTAGCTGAAAGGTTACTTCGACGACACCAAACTCGCTAACTCCCGTTTTGGGACTTGAATTCTAGAATTAATTTTAATTCAACCGAATTTTATTTCCCCGTGTGGACGATGCGGGCGAGAAGTCAAGAGGTAGATCGTTCGTCGCCCATACCTTCGCCTCGTAGAAGTCCAAGCTGGAGCCGTTCGTGTCGTTCTCCTCGTACAACTCCACCTGGACGCGGTGGTGCGAAGTGTGGGAGTTCCTCGAGGAGTGGGACGACGTGCGGGTCGACGAGTTCTCCGACAGGTCGTCCCTGCAGCACGCCGCTGTGCACATTCGCTGCTCTCTGCAACCGTGCAACGTCCGGTGAGCGAAATGCCGGCGATTCGAATCTTGCGACGAATCTGGCAACAGCTGCCTTTGCACCGATCTCGAAATGGTTTTGAAACCATCGCTAATAACTTGAAAAGCAACAATACTAAGAACCTTCTGACGGTGACGGAGTCCCGTCGTCTCGGTACAGGCGGCGGAAGACCGGCGGCGGCCAGGCTCCGGGCGCTCTCGTAGCTCGCCTCGCTGTTCCCGCTGCTGCTGTTGCCGCTACCGCCGCCGTTGTTACTGCCCGCGTGCTCCCCCGTCCTCAGGAAGTAGTTCCTCGCCGAGAGCATCGCGTAGTGAAGATTGTTCTTCAGGTCATCCGCCGCCGTTGACAAGTTTCCCGGGATCTTGGGGGTGCGTCGCATCGGCCGCGGCGCCGGTACCACCGGCGACGGCGGGCTGCTGGATGCCTCCGAGAGCGTCTCCGGGGTGGCCAAGGGCGCAGTGCGATCGTCCCAATCGTGCCGGCGGCCGAACCTTCTCGCCGCCGGGAGAAGCAGAAGGTGATTACTCCGCACTTACCGCACCGACCGGGTCCAAACAATGCGAGTGTCCGGAGGATCGTCCGGCTGCCGCTGGGGCTCCGATATTCCTTCGGATCTGACATTAGCCGGAGATTCGGATTCTCCCGAGATGTCCGAACAGTTGAAGCATCAAATATCCGGATCTGAGCTTCGATCGGACCTGATATTACCCGGGTATCCGATTATCCGGGCAGCGGATAATGACGAGCGATTTTCCACGATGTACGTATGCAATCGAGAATCTACTTTCCGACGATGTATATATACGTCATACGCAACGGGAGGATTAATAAGTCGTAACTCGAAACTTGTCTCATGTACGAAACGCTCAGATTTTAATTCAGGCTTAGACCACTGAATTTTTCAGCTCAATCATATGAAATTCGATATATAAATCATATATTGAATAATACGTCTGACATATCTGTAATCGTGATTCGACGGAGAAACGAAGAAATTAACTTTGAATTCAAGACCATCTCACGTGAGACAAGTTTCGAGTAAATCGGCATTCGAGCTTTCAGATCGGAAATTCCCAACTTCCAAATATCCAAGTACTTGGGAGCCCCACCAGCCACCTTGCAGTTCTTCCGGCCATTGCGCCGTTCGACGGGACACTTCCTGCGCGACGTCGCGATTACCTGCGATGATCGCACGCCGTGATCGCTCGCGACAATCCCGACGCGATCACGACGCTCTCGGGTGCACGATAATGCGCGTATGATTTGAGGTGAGGAGGTTTCAGAGAGCTCTAAGCGAGAGAGAAGCGAGAGTGTGAACGAGAGCGTGAAACGAAGGGACCGAATTCGTGTGAATCCGAGCGACAGATGTAGAAAAGCGGATGTGTGCGACAAAATGATGATCCCCCTCCGACCGAATCCCCTACTCCGCCACTCGCACCAGGTGTTACCTTTTCTCCATCTTTTCTCTCATTCCCCTTTTTTTGTCGAAAGATCGCGCACTTTTCGGCGGATTTCGTATTCCTCGGTGAAACGAAAGTATGTGCGCGCACATATATATACACACATACACACACCCACACAAACACACATACACACATCCACGCACATAGGAATGACGCGTCCTGCCGATCAACGCGGTGAAAACGCGTCGCTCAACGTTATCGCCATCGCTTCGCTCCGCTTTCGACCTCCTCCTTCCTCTTCTTCCACTCGTCCGGCCGTCACGAGGGTAACCCTCCGCGATTTAAGACGAGCGAGTCGGTAAGCGCGCGAGGAAGGTGTCCTCATCGTCCTTACACTTTGCCCTCGTCCGGCCGCGGCGTGTTGAGCAGCTCGCTGGCGAGGCTCATGTACTCCCACGGGATGCCTCTCGAGTCGACGCTGAGCTCGCGACCAGCCTGGGGTAGGTCCGTCGGGCTCTGCAGCGACGTGAAGCTCGTCTCCAGGCAGAGCCGGTGCGGCGGTGTGCCGGCCAAGTTGCCGAGGGTCCGGCACCTCACCGGGCTGGACGGCGACAGCAGAGCCCGCATCTCCTGCTCCTGCACCTCCAGCTCCAGCTGCACCTCGACCTGGTGCTCGCGCGCCTCCGACGCCTCCGCGGAGGACGCGTGGCCGGACGTCAGCCTCTGCGGCTTCGCCGGTCCCAGGGTCGTCACAACCTGACATACGCGCGCCCGCCCGCGGTGTGTAGTGCGTCGTTAAATCCTGCTGGCTCGGCCTCGTCAAGTCGCAGGTACAAATCGCGACGAGTTCGCTTCTTCGCGCGACCTCCCCGTTGGCGAGAACGTTCTCATTGCGCCGCGCCGCGTTGCAATCTTCCCCGCGTGCTCCGATGTGCTCTCAGGCGATTAAGGATGTATTGCCCGTATAACTCGAGATAATGAGAAAATGATTTAAAACCGATGTACATTGTGTGTACAAAGGTGGGACGAAAAGTTTGACAGTAATTCGCAGCCTCGGAGGATCGGAAGATCCCCCTTATTCGTGAAATGAGTTTGATAAGAATTAGAGAAGAAAATTCGATGAAATTTGCATTGCATATATGTTAATATATTAACTCATTGCTCGTGTAATTAGGAAAAGATTGACCATTCTTGAAAGCTGAGATACTTTTAACTAAAGCTGACACTTTTTATATACGTGTTCCTTGAGAGAGAGAGAGAGAAGATGAGCGTGCTATTTTTAATTTGTATTTTAACGACTTCCAAATAAAATGTATAAGTAACCACTCTTGATGCGCCACTGAAAATACGGCCACTGACAGGCAATACATCCTCAAGAATGTCACAAAGGGGACAAGAGTTCCCTCTTCAGAAACCCGTTTCGATACAAAAACTTGGCGCTTCTACTTGAAAATCTCCGCGGATGTTTCCGCCAAGCTTCCGAGTTTGAACGGAATTTAAGCTCTCTCACGGTCAATTGATCGAGTTAATCGAGCGTAATTCAGTGAAAAGGACAATCGAGAAAGCCGCGAGCACCAAGTTTGTACCTGCAACTCGTCCAATATCCCCGGCGGATCCTCCAGCGTGTTCCCGAGTAAATTCAACCGTCTTAACCGAATATACCTCCTCGTCAGATATACTTATCGATCGGTTGACATTAGCGTCTCCAGCTCCGTGCGTCGTCCGTCGACTTTAAACCGAGAATCTCCTCGTCGCTCGCGGGCTATGAAATCTTCATAGAGAAATCGAAATTCGCCGATAAGCTCTCGACACAGCTTCACCCGCGAGCAGATCTCATCTTGAGATTTTCGATCTCGTTTCCGTATCGCAGACGGACGATGCGGAGTGGGGTATCACGCGGAGGACCGCAAATCAACTTCAACGGCGAATTCACGGGCAAATACCTGGATCGGTCGAGCGACCGCAAGATATTTCACGCGAAAGATATCCCCGGATATCGATATTAATCAATCCCAAGCTACCTCGCAATCTCTTCTTCCTCTGTTCTGTCGGAACCCGATCGCGGCAAGACGGGCGCGCGCGTTCTTCGCGGCACACACAACTCACTCGATCGCCGAATAATCGACACCTGCCCGACCGGTAATCACATCCAGCATGCAAACCAGACGATACTCTCTCGCTAAAGTCCACTCTAGGAGATCAATAAGGCGATCGACTCTAGTCGAGGGCCGAATACACACAATGAGAACGATATGATCGGTCGGTGCGTGATGCGCATGCATTCGTGTTGGTGCATGCGTGTATTGTATGCGTATGTACACGGGCGTACATTCATTAGGAGCTCGCAAAGCTTCGCCGGACCTTCAGCCATACTTCCGTCATGAATATTCGTTCTTAACTCGGCTTCCTCCCCGGCTGGGGTGCCGCGTTCTTCGAGCAATCCTTTTCGACGCCTCGTGAATATTCCGGCTCACTTTTGCAGGAAGAACCGAAGGGATGAGGTCACCGACGAAATTTGCAAGCCCCTACGAGACGTACGATGTGTATCGATATGTGTGTAAAATGCGTGATGCCTCTCGATCGGCGACTCGGTGTCAACGTTGCGGCAGGAAGTGCTTACCCTTTCGTAGAGAGCGCGCGCGACATCGAACGAACGAGAACCTCGGATTCGACGACCGGTATTTCACGGGATTGCGCGCGATAAATCTTTTCGGGACACCCCGGGTTCACCCGCTTCGCTCGCCGACCTCATTTCCCGTTGCGGCGGTTCCAAGTACCTTGTGTCGCGACGCGAGGAGGATGCTGCGGCGACGTGGGGATCCGCCGATGCAGCTTGCTGATGAAGCATCGCGACGTGCGAGGACAGGTGATCGGCGAGAGGCCTTTGGAGGGTGGTCGTAGCGTCTATTATCACGATGTCGGTGGCATCGGCGCCGGTATCCGCGCAGCCCCGAACTCTGCACGCCAACACCTGGTCCACAGGACACACACACACACCCTCAGGCAGCTTAGCTCGGCCGACTCGGCCGAGTCTCTCGCGAATATCGCCGGACTCGACGGCGAGGGAATTCGAGACGCGCTTCTTCGAGTTTCGGACGGGTTCTCGGGGATCTCCAATTTCCAAATCGCCCGGAGACTCCGCTCGATCGGAAAGCAGGCGTCAGCCGATCCTCCGAAGGAAGATCGTTGTGTTTACAGACGCGGCTTCTCTCGCCCCTCCACGGATCAGGGATAACACGATCGGACATCGGCCAGATTCGCTTCCTCGCGGAGTCTGCGCGACTTGCAAATCGGTTCCTCCCGCGGTTATTCTCGCGGGTGGTTCTCCTGGGGAGGGGAGGGGGTGAGTGAAGAGACGGTTTCTCTCCTCTCACGCGTTGCTCGAGAGGAACAAAACGAGGAGTTTCGAGTCTGTACGCAGTCATTGGGGGAAAGAGAGCGGACTATAGAGCGGAGGACTATGCGGAAGAGAGTAATAATCTCACACACACACACACACACACGCACGCACCTATACGCGCAATAGTAATACAGATTAGCGAGAGAACGGCCAGATCTCGTGTACGGCGAACACAAGTATAATTAGCTACTTAAACCAACGCAACTCAAATCTACAAACAAATTAGCCCAGGTGAGTGAGCGAGCGCGACCTGTGAATCGAGATCGATCGCTCGCACACCTATGTTTGCGCACGGCTCAACGCGCGCGAGACGCTTGGAGACTTCGCTGAGAGAGCGGAATAAGTCCAATTTCAATTCTAATAATATGATTCGCTTCCACTTTAACTCCGGTTGCCTTAAAATTTCGTTTTCATTGTTGTTAGAATCGAAATAGGTTCTCGCGAGGCGGCGTTACAGTTAAATTTGTGGAATTAAAATTTCAAGAGAGAAACTGACGAGACGAAATTTCGGTTTACTCTTTATTTACATCTACGTTCACACACACATACACACATACATACACAGGGCACACACATACACGCGCATGTGAGTGCATACGCACCGTTATCAAGCGTCTCGGCGCGACGAGACTCAGGAAGCTATTAGGAAGCCTCGTCAAATAAACAACAACGATCGTTTCTGTGGCAGAAAGTATATATATATATATATATATATATATATATATATATATATATCTGCCATATATTGATCGAAGTAGCATACATTGCAAATTATACATAATGGAGAATTGTTGCGGAACTGTGCTTCCAAAACGACCAACCAGCAAGTGAGTGATAGAGTGAGACCGCGGCTTTCTCTCTCGCGTTTACAGCCTCTCTCTCTCTCGCATATCTCGCGGGCGACGTAGAAAAATATATCGAGCCGCGCGTTCTCGCCGCGCGTTCGGCGCTTCAAACACGCGCCCGGTAGCGAATCCGGATCGGCCCCAATGTTTCTTCAACGTCGGATGCGCGGCGGGAATGCGGGCAATTACTTCTTTTTTTTTTTACACGGTAACTCTTATCACGCAACGCGTTAATTCACTAAGACTGTTGTTTGTATCGTGCCGATCGTGCGCGGATATGTGTCTTCGTTTCGCGTTTTGCGTGCAATGAATAGAAGAGAGAGAGAGAGAGAGAGAGAGAGAGAGAGAGAGAGAGAGAGAGAGAGAAGAGAGAAAGAAGAAAGCGTAAGAAAGAACGGAGAGATTAATCTCTCGCGAGGAAACGTACGTACGAGAGACGCGTCACACGCGGCGGTTGCTTCGATAAACGAGAGCCGACGGTGGTCAACCTTCGTTTGATTAACGGGTGTCAATGAATTCAATCGGTCATTGCGACACTTGCGTCCAGAGAGAAAGAATGCCCCCGTTGATCACTTAACCCAATTGCACGACAATTGCGAGCGCTTAATAACATCTATACGCAAAGATAAGGAGCTTTCCTGCCGAGACCTCAAATTATCGACGTGTCGTTTACTTCTAAGAAGAGTGTTCCCACGTTTTCCCCGCAATGGCAGATTGAATTCCGGCATTCGTGGTCGTTCGTGCCAAGCGATTTCGCGTGCGAGATTGTTGTGTTTCACGTAACAACAAACGGACGTGTGACGATTACGTTCGCGTGCAAACGACACAACAGCGGATACTCGCGTGCCGCCGGCTGACCACTTTCGGCCACAGATGATAAAGTATCATGCATTTGTACGAGGGCATGCATGTCAGTCCTATTACTCTACTTAGGCGATAATATCGGGAGTAACAGTAGTAAGTACAAGAATACTCAGCGTATGCGCGTATTGTGTGAGGTACCGGTCGACCAGGCATGTCCAAGATCGGCTTCGCGACGTTTCCTCCTCTCCGTCCTCTCGTGGAGTGAGATGGAGAAGGAACGGGGACAGACTGAGAGTGCGACCGCACAGGGTGCGTTCGAAAACGGGGGAAAAGGGGTTCCTCCGTCGGCTGAAGTTGGACATGCCTGCCGTAGACAATAGTCAAGTCACATCATCCGCGAAACTGTTCGAAGGAGCGAACGGGAATCGCAGCGGATCGGCGCTACTTTGAAAATCTCAACGAAAGGGATTCATTCGATACACTTTCGTTCGATAAAGGGTCAGAGCTTCGGAGGACACGTGAGGGACCCAATCAGGGAATCGAAAATTAAGAACGTCCTCTCAAAGCGTTCGGAACCTATTCCTCTCGCATTTTCGCACTCACGCGTCTGACACGTCACGATACGCGGCATATCTGCGAAACGCGGCCGATCAACTGACCCTCGAACAAAGTCGACCGTCGACTTGATTGATCCCGAGAGAGGAGAAAAAAAGCAAAGTTGCACCGAGCCGACCCTGCCGATTCTCACCCCGTTTCCCCGACCGAACTTTTCCACACCGTGTCGTCTCCACCACCGAGCCGGGAGCAGCAAATCAAAATCTATCTATTATGTACAATCACATCGTTCCAAAGCACAGCACGCCAAATAGAATTGCACTACTTGAAACGCTAAGGAGCTCCGAGTGGCGAAAGAGTAAACGATACGATTACGTGTGAACGGGAGATTATACTAGCGGCAAACTCTACGCGAAACTTCGTCACGCCTCTACGACTACGCTCTACGCTAATTCAGAAGTCCGGATTCACAATAGGTGTTGCAAACTTTCAGCTTTTTGTTCTGAAAGCGATAAAATCTAACGTAACTTCCGACAAAAGACTCTGCTGATAGTCGTGATAACACTCGAGCCTCGGGAACTGCGACGTCTGATAGTGCCGGGAACGTTTTTGCTGGAAATTGCGCGGAGAAAATATCGTAGCGAAAATCACCACGAAATTTGGTAACGTTAGACTGTACCGTAGAATTATGGCTGAAATTATCTGAGATACACATCGCTAAAGATTACAATCACACATCATAATTTCAGTCACACTTCCGACAGAGTCCGGCGTTGGAAAATTTCACGATAACTTTTGCCACGATATTTTCCTCGCGTGCGTTACAATTTCGTGCAATTTCGGGCGAGAGATTAAAGGCTCTACAAAGACTAAAGACCCGTTGTGAACCCGGACTGACGCGGCAGGTGTCAATGAATAATCATATATACGTACACACTCTCTTGCGCGCACACATACGCATCCTCCCCCCTCGCCCCTCACACACACATATACACACACGCATGAAAGGTACCTCGATGTGCAAACCAACCGGACAAGTAAGCTGTACGATTACAATCTAGCTGGCGTGATTTGCGAGTCTCTTCTCAATGGTTCGTCGCGCAACTGCGGACTATCCCGAGCGCGAGTCTACCGGGTCGTTCAAGACGATCTGTTCTCAAACGGCCGCGTTCAAGTCATCCCCGTACGCCAGTCCGTTTCGTTCTCACTTGGCACATTATCCTCGAGCCCTTCCGGGAGCAGATCGCGATCGCGGAGAAGAGCACGGAGATCGATGACGACTCGTCGTCGTCGTTAACGCGGCTCCGCTTGCGTCTCGTGGATCTCCACGTCGACGACGATCGACGTGCTAAGCGCGCGGTTATCCGCGAAGGCCGCGCCTCGATCCGGATCGTCAAGTGCGTCAATCCTGGCTGGCCGTCGCTCGGCGGCAACCGTCTCGCTGAGAACGTCGGGCCCGTCGGTGGTCTCCTCCAGCGGCTCGTAATGGCCCGGCTTCACCGACGGGGTCCGGCTTAGCGGTGTCTGCGAACGCTTCACTTGCCGCACGATCGCGTCCGCCGCCTGGCTTACCTTGTTCAGCGCCCGCAGCATGTTGTCCGGCATGTGGTCCTGAATCATCACCGGGCTGATCAGCACCTCGTCGAAGTCGCACGGCCCGGCCCACAGCGCCTGGTACACCGGCTCGCGCTTGCTCAACACCTGTCTGCAATGTAACGCGAGAATGAGCACCCGACCTCGCCGTCTCCTTTCTCCCCCGTTCGTTTCTCTAACCCCCCCCCCCCCNNNNAACCACTTTTTCTCTTATCATTCGCGACGTTTGCTTCTCTTTTTGATTCCCGTTTTGCGACAAACGTCCGGCCTATTACCGGCCCATTTTGAATTTCTGCTTGCGCGACACAGAAGTAATCTCCCTCGTAATGAATAGACTTTTCTTATGTACAGCGTATGTAATCAATCATGCATAGTCTAATTTGTTTCCTACAAAGAGAGAGAGAGAGAGAGAGATCATCTACGGAGTGGAGGCATGCATCCCAGCGGACACGTGAGGACTACAATCAGAGAGGACTATACTAGTAAAATCTGTCTTGATGGATCATGATGGATGGTAGTGGAGTTATCAAAAATTACCCGACCACCTGCACCACCCTGCTGGCCACGCATCGCTCACGCGTCGATCACATGCATATATTATATATATATATATATGTACCGTGTGTGTGTGTGTGTGTGCCTGGAGGAACATTACACGAGCGGCATGGCACAAATCCCGGCATATCCTTTTCTCAGCTTTAAATTCCATTCGAAGACGGACCCGAAAATGAGCGGGCAACATTACTTCCGATGCATCTATCGATTACACACACACACACGCACGCACGCACGCACACAGAGAACGATATATCGCGCCGCAATCGCCTTTTTCACCGCGCAAAATGCGTGATACACTCTCGACACTCGGCCACAACACCACTCTCGATATGAGCGCGGCTATATACACGCGGCAGTAAAACTTCGGCCAGCGTGTACTCTTCTCGAGACGATCGAGATGGAAATCGTTCTAACTGCGTGGAGAACCCGAAGGAAACCCGTATCCGACATCGGTATCGAGAGATGCTGGAGCGGTCGGTAGCTTCGGCTACATGATAAATACGGGATGTATATATTTATATATATGTATATATATATATATATACATAGACCAAAGAGAGGCATGCGGGCATATCTCCAAGATGCAACAATCCAGAGGAGGAGGAGTAGTGGTAGTAGTGGTAGTCCTGAAAATACTGTAAGCTATCTGCTATAAACGTACCTCCAACTCGTCTCATACTTCTGCCTAGAAAGAAACACACAGACGCAATTAACTTCTCGTTTGCTCGTCAGCCCGCGCGCGCGCGCGCGCGCACCGGCGCAAAATCGATTCATCTCGCGCGTAAATTACACTCCGGCCCGGCTGGGCGCGCTCGTTAAACACGCTTAACGCCGCGCACCGATCGCCAACTTCGGTATCGCGCGATCACGCGACGTTAAAAACATCGATCAGCGCGAAAGTTTCGGAAAAGAGAAGCTAGATAATTACTTTCGCGGCTGTCGAGTGATGTTGTACATCGCCGTCGCCTATTAGTCACGATTACCATGTAATGCAGGCTAAATAAACGTTATCGCATGGAACGTCTTCTTCGCGCAATCTCGTCGAAGAGAGAAACACACGCCGAGGAAACTCGTGTGCATCCTCGCGCGTAAGCCTGTCAGCGCTCTCGTATATCGAGTGTGAACTAGAGCCCTAAATATGAAAGGAGAAGCGACATTGGGAAAATCAGTTTGCTTGAACGACATCCACATGATTTCGACGTCATTTTCTCCAGCGACTGTGAGATCTTTGTATCTTGTGCAGTGATTTTAATATATTATGACAATAAAATCCTTTTTTGGTGCGCCAGGTTATAATGAGAAGCTTAAAGTTATGGAGGGGGAATTTTCTTACACGGAATAATTATTGAACCTCGCCTCTTGCAAGCTAATCTCCTTTCTTACTTATTCTCCTTTTCCTTCTTCTTTATGTCCTTAAGACGTCTTATTATGTAAAACAGTATCCTTACGACATCTTCGGACGTTTTAGTCTTACTTGAGAAATTACGTTATATTGTATTATTTATGATTGAGCATAAATCTTACTACATCCATCGTAGATTCGGACTTGCTCGCTTGCTGCGTCGTCATGCGAAGAAAATGATGGGTTTGCATCATATATCGAGCTCAATGTTGCTTCTCTATTTATAACCAGGACTCGAAATGAAAACGCAGCTTCGATTCCCCGCGCCGGTGCGGTCTAGTTTCGCATTGCGGATGCAAATTCTCCGAAGATAATTGCGAAACCAACTGAGATATGGAAGAGGAAAGTGAAACTTCTGCACATCGACAGTACTTACTCGTCCTTGTTCGGGTGATGCCGCACTACGTGTATGATCCGGCCGGGCGGGTACAGGGGTCTGTGCAGGGTCAAGGCGATGCTGGAGTCACTGGGCACGACGGTCTGGGCGCGCGCCTGGTCCTTGTCCCGCTGATACTCGCTGATGCAGCCGCCCGCCTCCAGGTTCGCCGCGGACGTGGGCGTCGAGCCGCAGCCACAGCACATCACCGAGCACGCTATCGTCTTCCACTGGAACAGATCGCCCACGTACACGTTATCTCGACGAACCGACGGCACTTTGACGTTCGCGTTATTTTGGAGTGAGAACAGAGAAACATCGAGGTCTGCGAGTTACGTAAAGTTCTGAACGGAAATGTCCGAGTTTGCGCGATTTTGCCGGGACTGTCGAGCAACAAAATTAAATCGGCAAATTGAATAACATAACTCGATTTGAATTTAAAACTCTAGGCTACCGGCCCCTATCGCTGCACTGTTGTCTTGTCTGACGACGTCAGAAGCGAGAAAAAGCTTGCCCGAAATTCTTGCGAAATACGCTGAAATAATATGATACGCGTATAAATTGACAAGGTTGTATATCGCATTGATTTCACGGCTGTTTATTGATCGTTGAAGTAAAAGGAAAGTTTTCGGAATATTTGACGAAATGTGCCCGATCGATCACAAATATCTTTTTTACGGGCGTATCTTTTTATTTCAACGTATTTCGCAAAGAATTTTGGCTATACATTTCTTTTTCTTCTGACGTCGTTAATCAAGACGATCGTGGCGAGTGGCTTGAAATCGACAAGCTCTCAATTCGGGACGTGTGTTTGAAAGTGAAAATAGTTAAAGAGACCGACATCGGTATTGGCAATCTTGTCAAGATAGGACTGCAAAAAAAAGACGAGTGGTTTAAGAAAAACCCCATGAAGAGGTACCTTAGGATCGACGCTCCTTTTTATCGCGTTGATGAGGTCCGCTCTCAGACTCTCCATCTGTCGGAGTCCGATTCTAGGTACGACGTCCTTCCCTACCACCACGGAGGTAATAAATTCCTGAGTGTATTGCTGGGCTGGCATACTCAGTAGTCCACCGGGTGGCCCGAATGAGAAGCAGACCAGATCCGGGTATTCCTGCTTCAGTAGGATCGCGAGAATAGCAGCAGTGCCGGCGCCTAATGAGTGTCCCACCAGCGTCAACCCGAATTGATGTGTGCCCCTGGAGGTATCCTGCGGCGAGACATGACCGTGCATCGAAACGATCCCTTTGATTATCGCCGCCACGTAACACTTCGCCCACCATAAACTCGGGGCTCGGTTTAATCAATGGTGTGTCTGACGTGTAAGTAGCGATTAAGCTTTAAGTATATAATGTACACAATGATTATACCGTGTGATGTGACGAATCGATGATTCATGAGTGAGTGAACTTTTATATTTTATAACACACTGCTTCCTGCGGTTATTAACCAGGAAAAGATAGACTGTGGGATAAGATAGCGATGTATTATTTTATTTTAAATCATTGTGCAAGGATATAAATGTTTCATTCAGTAGTTGGGTAAGGTTGCAAGAGGATTGTAATATTATAAGTCTAGGATCACAAGGATTCGTTCTGCGTGGAAGGTTAATTCACCGCGTGCGTGAACAACACTCAACATTTATATCCTCCTCCTGCGATAATTTAAAGTAACGCATCGCTACAACATTCATTTCGATCGCGTTCTTATTGGCTATCTGTCTTGATAATGATTATATATAACGAACAAAAAAAAAGTATATGCTTTGTCAATCGCACTCGGAACGAGAATCCCATCCTTGGATGTGATCAACTTTCTTTCTCCGAGCGAAGGTACCCCACGCGAGCGTCGCGCCGCTTCCTGAATTATTTCGATTGAATCCCCCGTACATTGTCCTTTGCCTGATATATTCCTTATAGGAAATTCTATCGGGATAAAGTAGATTCAGCGCATATATATATATTGTCTACGTTGTTCATACGGTACATAAGCTTTATGTATTGCGGAACGGCGGGCTGAAAAATTTAACTGTCCCGAACGAGGCGCGCGCTCAGCGAAACGTCGAGCGATTTAAATCCGCGATGAAAAAGTTACCGTCACACTTCGTTGCGGCGCGGAAAGCGCGCGAGTGTGTATGGCAAACGGTGAGCTTTACTCTTTTTTTTTTTTTATTCCTCCGCGATGCATATTCAGAGGAAGGGGATCGGCGATTTTTTTTTATTATGTAGAAAAGACTGCCATTAGACGTGCGGGCCGAATTGCACCAACTCGACGTGTAACGTCTCTCCCTCAGCGTGTGAAAAATGGCATTTTAAATGAAACGATACATTTATCGATCTACGGCGAAGAGCTTCGGTATAAACCGGAACTCCCGGGTATCTCCCTTGACTCCGAACGAGAAAGCGCTTGCAACGGAAAATTGTGGCGTTCCCGTTTTCGACAGTTGGCGACAATATATACGTGCAATTGCCGCAAAAAAAAAGAAAAAAAAAACATTCTCATTACGCTCGCGTGTACCAGTTGTCGCTTATTATGCGGATAGCGGAGCACCGCACGATAATTACTTGGCCGGCTATCGTCGCCATTCGATAACGAGCGAGCGAGCGAGCGGGGCGCGGCTCATTTGCAAGCGATGCGTACCTTGGCGAGGGCACGTGCGATGATACCCTCCTCCAGCAGCTTCTTGCGTATGTACTCGGCAGCCTGCACCATCCCCTTGTGCCCCAGCCAATCCTCCCTCGGAGGCGACAAAGGCAGTACTTCGCCCTCGGCGTTTAGATCCGTCAGCACGTCCTTCATGCTCAGAGTCCCACGTATACTGACTACCACCTGGTGGAAACGTGAGGGTGAGATGCACAATGAGAAGCATCGCATAAGTAGAAGAGACGGCTGGTAATTACGACGATAAGTCCAATAAGGAACGCGGAAAGCGACGGGAAGCGGTGCGGACGCGATAATCTAAATCCTGTCGATTGACTGTCCCGCTAGTAACGAGATTGTCTTAGAAGAAAATTAACAATCAAACCCGAGAGAAAGAGAAAGAGAGGGTCAGGGTCTCTCGTGAATTAGTTCGAAGACGATCGGAAGCAAACTTTGCTTTTCGTTGAGGAAACTAAAGCACCGGCTTAAAGTTCCGCGGCGATTAACGAACGACGAACCTTCTTCTTGGTGTAGTCCAGCGCTACGAAGAACGGTGTCTCGCCTACGTCGACGTGGAAGGTCGCATACACCACCTCGATCTCGCCTAAGTCGAGCATGCTGCTCAGAGCGGCGTAATTGCATCGGCAACAGTTGTCCGACACGATCGTCGCCTCGTCCTCGTGAGCGCCGCACGCGAAGCAGCAACATCGCAATCTGTCGAGCAGGAAGAAAACACGGTTCACGGGGACAGTGTCGTCCGTGTTTTTCCGCACGACTGTGCGTAAAAACGCGACCATGAAGAATCATCGATCATCGGAGCGTCGCGAGAAATCCGAGGGAGTTTTTAATATTATACAGACAATAACACTGATCGACACCAAAACTGTATCCTGGATCTAAACCGTCAATTCTGGTTCATTTTGTGGCGCTAATCACAAATATAATTAAAATCAAAACTTGGCTTTAGTTTCCATCGTATAGTGAGAACAACGATCAAAAGGGAATTTGATATTTGAGGCTTTTGTGGTGTGGAGAAAAGGAAATTCCTTCGATCATCCCCTTCAAAGCTAATTTTTTTTACTTTGAGACGGTATATGTGGCAGTTCTGTAAGAATTTATGAATGAAATTGTATTTTAATTTCCTGTAAAAAGATAGGGGCTATTTCTATTCCTCCATTATAGCATTCTTCATTTCGAGACCTTCAGAGACGTCTAATAATGTAACATTCAAAAGAGATTTTACTTTTTCTGACAGTATCAAACATACGAACATGGAAATCGCAATGAAAAATATGTTTTATTTTCATATCTCACGTCATTAATTTACGAAAATTGAAGTGCAAGTCTATACTTTCTTGTATTACGACTGAACAATTTTTCACTGTCATTTTCCTTTTCAGCGTATAAATATAAATGAAAAAAATAAAAATTCGTAACGGACACAATTTATAATACGAAATTTGTTTGACCAGTGTAATCGACACTCGTTTTAATTAGAGAGACGTACTTGACGCGAGGAGGAATTACCTGGTGCACAACTGGCAGAGCTCGGTGGAGGGATTAACCACGAACATGGGCCAGCCGTAAGCTGCGAGGGCGAAATGCATATAGTGGATGGCCAACTGAAAGTGGCCCAGGTCGCCGTCCTCGGTCATCGACAGGAACTTGGTGCGCGGGGTCACCGGTACCCCCGACAGGAACTCGTACGTGTCGTTCTTGCGCTGCTTCACTATCAACTCACGCTCGATCTTCTGGAACTTGCGCAGCAGCACGAGACCGGCGACCACGTCCGACGGCACCACGTCCAGGTCGCGGAAGAAGTCGCTCAGCAGCCGCGCGATGTCAGCGAACGAGTTCTGCAACCGAGTGTTTTTATCTCGTCAGTGTGTTGCGAAGCGAATTTAGAACTGCACGATGTACGCCCACCCCTATGTTGGAAAAGAGCGTGCAAAGCGAGCGATCTTCCCTCTCTGGCAGAGGCAATTTTTTTTCCGCGAGGCTTCTCTGTACATCGGAAATCTTCGCGCAAGGCAAAGGCACGAGTGACATCGTACAAAACTGTATTTCCTCGCGAAACCGTCGCGGAAAAGTTATACGTAAAAGGTCGTTATTCCTGCAAAAGTGAGAATATCTCGAAAATAGAGAAGAAAAAGAACGGAAGGAAAGAGAAAAAAGACGTCGAGGTTTTCCTCTCTTTAAATCTTTCATTCGTCATTCGAGAGAAAGCGATCGGCTATCCGCTTAATTTATTTACTTCGACGTCCCTGCTTCTCCGTGAACGAGCATCCGTTTATTTCTGACGTCTCACGGCGATTTTCCTACGGTTCAATGGAGAATTCATTCTCGAATTAATGTCACGAATAAATTCATCTCTTTCGTTTCCCCGGAACAGATTTCCGTAGCTGCGACGCTACTCACTCGATTGCGGTCGGAGTTACCCATGCAGCAGAACAGCAGCCTGCACCTGTTGTCCCAGCTATCTTGATAGGCACGTATGACTTTTCTGCAACAGAAGATTTAAACGGGAACGCATGTTTAGGACGTGCGCTCGCCCAAAGAGAGAGAGAGAGAGAGAAAGATAGATAGATGTTAACGTACAAATCCGGGCCGACGTAAAAGTCGGTCGGAATAAAATTCCGCGAGACGACCGGGATCGAGGGATATAAAGTGGACCAGCGGGTGTCAGTGGAAAAGCCACCGCACTGGTCGGACATACATTTAGAGGGCGACGGGAGCACCGCTATTTTCCGCGACGTGATTTCGCGGAAAGCCCTCGGACTCTCCCGTCTGGCTTTCGTTCGCGATAAAGCGACAGAGCCGGGCTCTTCAATTCCGTCGGCTCGCGTAACGCCATGGAGAAAGATATGAGAGCGAAGGAATGGGAGATTCGAGACACCGAGATCTCTCGCCTCCTTCCCTGGTAAACGCTGAGCCGCTTTATTGCGGCTTAGTGTACAGGGGCGCGCCGGGACACTCACCGTTGTCGCCAATTTCGATTTCTGCTGCCGCTGCGCTTATAGTGCAACCTCGCCCCCCGCAGCTCCGCCTCCCTCATGCTGCGCTGGTACTTCTTCATCTTCACCCAGGACCTGCCGGCAGCGTCGTACGTGCACCAAATCGTCACCGTCATTAGCGTCATCAGACAGCAATTCGACACTACCAAACCTGCTCGGGACGAATGAGGTCGCAGTGAGTCGAGAAAATCGGTGGCTCGTGCCGTTGTCTCGAAAGATCAAAATCTCGAAACTCGGAAATTGAGACGTTTTCTCGAATAGTCGAGATACGACCATTTATTTATAGCATAAACGGCGAAAATCCCCCTTTCTCTATGTAAGCAAAAGAAAATAACAGACGAAGGACTCACCTAACATAACATCCTTAGCTTGGTCCACTGGACAGATATGATAATAATACGTTAACCACGTGAGACCCGCGCCCAACCATCCGCACTCCACCAGAACTAGGACTGGAAGCATCAAATCCACATCGAGATTAAGTCGTAAGTTAGCTGCCTGCCTGCCTGCCTGTTTATCTGTCTATCAATTTCTACCTCAATGTCCGACCATAGCAAAACAGAATTTCCGATTCGACGTTTCTCGTCCCTTGGCGACTAACAAGTAAAAATGAAAGGTGACAGGGGGGAGAGTAGAAGACGTCGAGAAATGACGCGACGTGAGACGCGGTTCAAGTCGAGATTTTGGCTCTGTGTTAAACCTTGATTCTACAACACACTTGATAGAAGCCAAGATAGATTTAATTCTAATTCTCGTTTTCGCCGTACTTTTAGCGCCAAAACAGATTATTTTCGAACATTCGTATAAATTTACTAGTCAAAATACCACCAAAGCAGCATCAGAATTTCGACTCGGCAGATCGATTCGAATTTCGCCGGGACTAAAATCTCGTTATCTCTCGTGTACGTCGTCTCCCGACGACGTGTCTTCCGGTGTGCGAAGAATGCCGCGAGTGCGCACGATAATGTACTTCTTACAATAAGGAGGAAGCACACGCCAGTCTCGCGCTCACCGACATCACATTCGCGCCGCATAAAAAGATCGAAGTTATCGACGGCGCCGTCGAGCTTACAAAAGCGCCCGTTTGTTTCCCGAGGCGGAAACGCGCGGCTACCGCCTCCGGTCAGCGCGCGTTTCCGCGGCGAGGCGAACATGACCGACCCACTTGCAACAATGCTGACAATAAACACGTCAGTCGCGAGACGTGCTCGGATCGCGACGGAGGATTGAACAGATTACTTCGGGATATCGCTACAGTCAAGTTATTTCGCCACCTTAGCTCCGACGACGTGCTGTAGAATTGGAGGTCCAACATAGGGCCGAAATTTCGACTCGGGCGGTTGTGTAGAGCCTCCACGGGGGAAGCTCTTCCAAACCGAAGTCGCGGTCCGTTCTCCCCTCCGACGGGATTTCGCTCGACGTACGAACACGTTCACCGTGGATTTCTCTCGGAAGCGAAAAATGTGTCACTCTGGTTCAATCGACGTCCTTCTGATATTAATTTAAACGGCCGCGCGGGGAGCACCGCGGAGGAATTACACGAATCCGATTGCGGCCGAAGCACGCGGGAAAATAATTGGCCGGTAAATTGAATCTCGGGAGCTTAACATCGCGACTTAAATTTACATCGGCCGGCGTCAAGCTATAATCGAATTGCGAATTCATTTCGCGCGTGCAATCCGCGTAATTTAACGGTACTCTCGGGCGGAAGCTAAATCGCCGGGTTGGTCGGCCGGCCGGTCTGGTGAGGATTTAAATAAAAATGGGGACGCGCGCCTCTTGCACGTAAGACGGACTAAATTTCGCCTCGCGGCGAAACGAGGGCGGGGGTGCAGGATGCGTCAAGAGAGAGTGAAGAGAAAAGAAAAAGGAGAAGGCGAACGAAGAAGGCTCGCGACGTGTACTCGCTTGTAAAGATAGAACGAAGGAAAATTGTTAGTGAGGAACGAAAGAGAAAAAACAAATGTCGATAGCGGGCGTTATGAGCGCCGTTGCGCGATATTGCGCGACAAATATTGTGACTGTCATCGGACCGTTTTCACCGACACCGTTTTCATATCGACTGTCTCTCAATACATATCGGCACATTGGAAGTTTAATAATATTGCCAAAGCAGTTAACATCGACGACACACGACGGGAACGGATCTGATCGCGGCGGATTAAAAAGTCCGATACCGCGTGAAACGCACACACAAACACACATGCACGCGCGCTCATCGAACGTTTTCACCAAGTCCTCGTCTTTTTGCCGCTCATAGAGCCAGTTTGCCTCCATTCTGGTGGAAAGAAGGATACCGAGGAAATCGATGCGACAATAACATCGCAACTTTCTTTAGTTCCTGCAACACAACCTACCCCGCGCACAAAGCTGGATCGTTACAAGCGTGGTTACTTCGCGCTTTTGTTATTAGCGTGAGAAAAGAAACTTCGATCTTTATAAATATTTTTTACGTAGTTAGTATTAGTGTAGTTCTCAACTCAAGGGCGATCTCACTCGTGGATGAACAGCACGAAAAATAGAAAAAAAAACAAGCCCGTTAGTGTAACTGAATTTTCCGCTGCCCGAAGACCGGACGAAAATTCCTGTGGAAGGTTTTTACTCACTCGATCAATCTCGGCTGTCTCGGCCGAGTTTTAATGTTGCAGTTGAATGTTCGCGCGAATGTTCTCTCAGTCGCGGTAACAGAGATATCACGTTTTGTCACCGAGTTTTCGTTTGGGCCTCGTTCAGTTACAGGAACTGGATTCTTTTTTTTACGTGTGGTCGACACAAGCGCAATTCTTTGGCTTGTGTTGTAAAATGCGAGAAAAGGAATGGTAACCTCGAACTTTGAAAAGATTTTTTACATAGTATGTACGTCTTCAACAAATCTTTTCAAGATCTACGTATCCGGTTCGAAGATGAATAGTACACGGTAAAAAGTTCTCTGTTAAAAACGGTCTACTAAAGTTTTTGTGTCACTTTAACAAGGTAAATAAATTGAAGAGTAACAAGTTAATAAAATGAATACATTAATTTACGTACGTATTTATGTATATATATTTTTTAATATATCTCCCTCCCGCTCCGATATGTTAAAGCAATACGAAAATTTCAGCAGACTGTTTTTAACACAAAATTTTTTACCGTTCAATAATTTGCAAAAGAAGATATTAAACAATCCTGCTCTGTATCTGTACGCTGATCTCTGCTTGACACATCGCTGATAAACACACCGAGAACGAGCGAAGATCGCGCGACGAAAGACCGATCGCGCATTTTATAGTCCGGGCGCGGTTTTCAAGCCCTAGCTTTTCCCCTCGATGGCGAGGCGTAAAACATTTGTAGAGTCGCAGTCGGCAAATAATCGGATACTCACACAGCCGGATATAAAGGATGTATTGCATCGGCGCCCTGGCCGCAGTGTCCAGGATACTGCCCCTCGTCGCCAGGAAGCAAATGGAGAATTCCACCACTAAGCAGGCCATGAAGAGGGCCTCGTAGCCGATCACGTAGTCCCATAGGAGTAGAATGCACGGGATGCTACGATCCCACTCGAGAATCCCCAGTAGAACGCCTAGCACCGTCAGCCTATAACCCATCAAGATATACCCCTTTTTAAATGGAATGCAAGGCTGAATAAAGGCGAAAACTAGTTCCCGACGATAAATTGCGTCGCCATGAAAATATCCCCGGAATTCAGTTCGGAGGCGTGCACGGCGCGTTCGTATATTCCCGGTTTACACGCTCTCTAAATTCTTCCTGGGGAGAGAGTACGTTACGTTTGAAATTTCCGAGCGCGCAAGTTGTGTTTACTCGCATCCATTGTTCGATTCGGGACGGGCGAAGCAGTCTCGCTTCGATTTTAGCTCGAGAATCCACTTCATAAAAATAGAATAAAAAACGGTGGCCCGAATCGAAAGAACGATGGATAAAATGGACCGATTTACGCCTAAGAAGTGTAACGTAATGTACAATCTCATGTTTCGTGGGTCGCACTGAAGAGCGACGGTAGCATTTATATTCATCTAAAGCGGGAAAATGGTGAAAATTCGTCTTAAAGAAGCAAGTCGAAATAAGTAACTTTTAATAGTAATGCGGGTAGTGATGTGATTTTATTCCAATTATTTAATTGCTTATATATTACAGTTTATTCTCTTGTAACATTTTTCACTGAAAACTAAGGAAATACTTTAGAAATGCTAAATCTAATTTGGTGTTAGTCTACAGGCCATTTGTGTAAGTAGGAACAAACTATCTTTAAAAGCGTCAAGTAGCGTGAAAATTTCAACTCGGGACAAGTCCTCTGCGCTTCGCACGGCAAAGACTGTGATTATTAATCACGTAACTTTTACTTATCGATATCTATTATGTCATGATAATGGCATATCAAGTCCGTCGCCCGGCATTAATAATCACGGCACGCTTTCAATTACATCGACGCGCCGGTGGCGCGCATAAAGCCTTTTGTGAGCGCGACAGTTGGCGCATACGAACTTTAGCACCGCGGCGGTCTTTTGTAGCACCTTGTATAGAGCCCACCGATAGGACAGTATTCGGATAGGACTTTTGGTACACGCTGCGATAAACACGATCGTCGCATCGGACTGCATCGGGAGCTTTCAAACGGTCACATCAACCGGAAGCGATCCTTTAGCGACCACCGGACGAATGATCTTCGGCGGCGTGTTTTTCGGTGAATGCCGCGCCGTCGGGAATCACGGAGGGGAAATTCGCTCGAGCGTCGCATTGCGAGAAGAAAAAATGGCCAATCTCACGTGACAATTACGGTCACTTTTCGTTTTATCAACCATTTCTCTTCGCAACAAAGAAAGAGAAAGTGAAAAAACACAAGCCTGTTGATTAATTTTAATTATAGTTGTAAAGTTTCCTGGACAAAAAAACATTTTTACTTTCTCTCCCGCAGACTTGATTTCTTATCCTTTTTTAAAAAAAGTTAAAAAAAAAGTGAACATGGTAAGTTTTAACCGAACACACGTGAATTTTTCCAAACAAATTCTCGTTCACCCTCAGTACAGAAACTGAAGAAATCCGCGAAAAAAGTGGGGGTAAAAACGGTTTTTCTCAAAACTTTTCAAACTACTTTTAATTATCATTTTAATTTTAATCACCATAGTATTATAACGAAGGAACGCAGGAGGGATCACAATCTTCCGTCACCCCCGTGAAAACTTGGCAAACTCCCGCGAGCGCCCTAATAACAACCGAATATATTATCGCGATGCTGTTAACGGTATGCGGGCGACGAGGAGGCGCGCGATGACACGAAAATCGATGTTATCGCGAATAAGAGGAGCCCGGTTCATTTATTCCGCCGTTTGTTGCTCCTCTTTTTCACCCTTTTCAGATGACCCGGTATCGTCCCGGATGCAGTCTTTTCATGTTGCGCTGCGCAGATACATCCATGCACCGCCGTTATATTCCGCTTCGTTTCGCACTATGCGGCACTATGCGGCATAACGTACGACGGACAAGCCTCGAATACATCCTGGCGAGACGTCCGTCGGACGTTGTCACGTGCATAACGCGTATCAGCGGCGAGACGTGTGGGCGTCCTGTGAAATATTTTTGCCGGGATCGCCAACCGGACCGGAACTGCTTGTATTTCGCGAAGCGTAACGCGCTCGTTTCGAGGATACCGCTGTTCATATATTTCGTGAGCGAGGGCACACGAGTGGATACGAACACTGTGAGAGGAAAGCACATTTGTGACTGTAATTGCACACAGTGAAGTAATTATAATCGAGGACACCATTGTCAGCCCTTTAGCGTGATTTTTTCGTTATTTTCTGCCGCCTAACTCGGCACACTGGATCTGTGAGACCCAGTAACCTTTTTGACACCTCCTTATTTAAATATCTGTAAATATGCTTATCCAGTGGACAGATATTGCAGTTTTGAGTGTATAAAAGGTAAATTTGTCAAGTTTATCGCAATCATTTCTTTTAAAACGGACGATTTAATAGAAGGTATAATAGAAATGTGTATTGATGTAATGTACCGATTCTATACAGAAAGAAGTATATTTTGCATGCTTTAAGTAAAGAATTCTACGTTTATATGTGCGATAATTTGAGACTCAACAACTATAGGACCTTAACTTTTTGCTTGAGTCAATCTGGCTTATGAGTGCCAAACTCGAAGGTTAAATGTAGTGTTAACGAGTGAGACAATTAAATCTTATGTTACTTTTTGTCAGAAAAACAAAAAGCAAAAGATGCCAAAAATAAATACAATATCAATGAGATCGGCTATTCTTCTCTCTCGGTGTGAAGTAGATCGATCATAATGTGGCCAAAAGAATCCCAGCAGGAAGCAAGAGAGGAAGAGAGAGAGAGAAAGAGAGAGAGAGAGAGAGATGAAGCAAGGAGTAAGTTAGAAAAGGGTGGAACCAATAAGAAGGGGAGAGACATAGCAGTGGAGACGAAGCGAAAGGCCGTCAGCCTTGGATGCTGCTGCGTGCTTCGTATCGATTTACCCCATAGCCGGCTTTTCCGTCGCTCCGCCTTATCTAAGCTCCTTGACGAGACAGCCCGAGGAGGAAAAGCCAGAACCGATTCTTACTATTTGCAGATGTGAATCTAACTTCTCTCGCACACGTAGACGTTTTTCTTGCCCTCGAGCGGCACGGATTTCGCCTCGCTTCGCGAAACCCCATCTCAAATCGTGTCGCACGGCTCGGCGATGAGAACAGAAAATTGCTCTCGCATACTTAAATAGGTGATTTTCTATAAGAGCAAAGTCACGAGAAGACCTCCGAGAAATCTTTATTATTACGGCCCCTTCATAATTCATAATTACCGGCTTCCATCGAAGAAAATTAAGTTGAAGTTTGAGCCGCAAATCACTTCGGGTCTAACGAGTGTTTTGCGTTGCTCGGATCTCGTACACTTTGCATCTCGTGACCTGATCATTTTCAAGTCTTCAGAATTTGATCTCCTACTTCATCCTCCTCCCCCCTTGTCCTCGTTCCACATATTTTCGTCGTTATTTTCGAAATTGCACAGCGAAGTTCTTTCGTTCTCACCACGTCGTCAACGATGAGCTCGGACCGGCTTGGGAGACATGAAGGAAATCGCGCCAACTCGAGACTCGCGTCGTCTCTACGATTTGTATTCCTACAACTTTTCAAGCATTTACATTTCGGCCTTCGTTCGCTTCCATTCTGTGGTTTCGTCTTACTTTGCATCCTTCCAACTTGGATGAGGCCAATTTATACAATTACCAACCGGATTTCCTCGACTACTCGTTTAACTGATAAAAAAAAAGTATGTATACGAGTCACTCCAAATGCAAAGCAAATTTCGGCAGTTTATTTCCCGCGTTTCCCACGTAAAACGACGCGTGTTTCCCGTCCCAGCAAAAAAAAAGTTCGACGACATCAAATTTTCCAGTGGAAAACGATTAGCCTTAAATGAGAAACAAATTCGTTTCAATCGTTGGAGATAGTTTCATTTCAGCGGCAAAATACCACGTTTCCAAGCGGATTGAATTTTCAAAACGCAAGCAATTTATCTCGCCGAGAATCGCGCGATGTACACACGCAATAGAGATTTACACAATAGCCATAATGTAAATGTCCGACGCGGTGTAATTATGCGAGATGGACAGTTAATTAATAAGCTTGATTCGAAATATCGGGATAGAACGGCGACGGTGTTTTAGCATATCCCGTTCACCTTGCGCTCGCTACGGTCGCGTTATTATGCATTACCGATCTCCGAAGTGTCGTCGTGAAAAGCGAGAGAACGCGCGTGTGGCAGCGCACATATTACATTTAGGTCGTGTACCCGAATAACATAAGTTAGATTTGCACACAATGCGCACGTATGTGCCCGTCGACGCGTGATGATATTAATGTCTTCGAGGTTAACGCTACGTCCGCACGAGAGACCGAGGTACAATAACAGGAGGACAAAGAGCGCGAAATCCGAAGTCTGCGTTAAAAGTTGCGTGATGCGGAACCCTTTTGTTTGCCGCATCTTTGTGAATAAAAAGTGCCGCATTAATTGGCGGATGCTATGCATGCTTGCAGAAAAAATCTGACGGAACGGGAAAGGTCGACGTTTGCACAACAGGCCGCGAAAAATGCCGTATCTCGTGGACTCAATGGTTTTCACATTCGGTTCAGCGTGGTCGCCTCTCGACGGGCGGGCGTCTCGTTACCGTATTTCGCGAAAATTACTCGAGCGAAAAAATAGCCGTCCTCCGACCATTCAAGCTCGAGCTATTCATCCTGGACTCTCTTTCAGCGAGTTTAGTCCAAGATTTAAAAACGCACTTCACATACCACACAAGCGTGAGTTTCCATAAGTTTCGTCACCGTTCGCCGGGTGATTAATTTCGATGTTATTTTAAGAGAATTTTGTGACGCGACGTCACACATGCGCACACGTGACATTTTAACATCGTTTCGGTGATCTCAATATACTGCGAGTTGCATGTTTATCGTAGCGTAATTAGAAGTAGATTTTATCAACTAATCAGACGAGTATAGATTATGCGATATCTCGTGCGCGATTTTTGTCGCATCCGCCTCAATAACGTTATTACATTAATCGTCGCGAGGA